TACTTCAGACTTTTAAACGCAAAACCCTCATTTTAATTTTTAAATTCTCCGAGAGGTTTTTAGTAACTTTGGTATAATAAAGCTTATACTTATCTTCAATCGTTGTGAAGCTATTTGAGTTTATAATGAAATTCTAGAAATTGTGATAATAAGGCATTATAACGGAAAAATAATAGTCAATATATACTAAGTGACATATAAATCCGAACACCCAGTTTAAATGGTTTTAGTTTAACAAAATTTTATATAAGTACTCAATGAAGCATAATAAGTAAATGATAAAAATTTCAAAATGATTGCACTGCTTTAAAGCCCTTTGACCTTTAATAATGTGTGGATGCACCCTGATGTGCTACGCATTCTCCTACGTGCCTAAGCATGCTTCTGATCAGGGGGTCAATGTCCTCCTGTGGTATCTCATTCCAGGCAACCACCAACTCCTCTCGAAGTGCTTCTAGAGTCTGAGGAGGACGTTGCAAATTGAGCAATCTCCTACCCATCATATCCCACACGTGCTCAATTGGGGATGAGTCGGGAGATCTTGGTGGCCATGGTAACAATGTGACATCATTATGTTGAAAGAAGTCTATTGTGTCTCTTGCAACATGTGGTCGGGCATTATCTTGTTGGAAAGTTGGATCTGCCAGGGTGTCAAGGTAGGGTAAAAGATGGGGTTCTAGAACTTCGTGGATATAACGCTGCGCATTCATGTTACCTCTGATGAAGATTAAAGGTGACCTGGAACCATAAGCTATAGCACCCCAAACCATAACTCCAACAGTGTGATGAACATGTCTTTCAACAGAAAACTGTGGATTCCTCCTTTCACCACGTCGCCTTCTAACCCTGGCACGACCATCGTGCATGCCTAAACAAAATCGAGACTCGTCACTAAGGACAATACTGTTCCATTCCTGATCCCAGAGTGACCGTTGTCTGCACCACTCAAGGCGATTACGTCGGTGTTCTCGAGTTAAAGGGAGGACCCAGTGTGGCCGGTATGAAAACAAGCCAAAACTTCTCATTCGTCGGTAAACACTTCGCATGCCAATAGGTCTTCCGTGTTCTGCAATGGACCTGGTAGTGGAGAAACGGTCCCTCAAGGCCAATAATCTTGGGCGGCGATCTTCACGGTCTGTTGTTCTACGGCGGCGTCCAGTGCCCCTTGCTCTTTGCGTACGGCCTTCTCGAAGTCATGCCTGACAACACCTAACCACAGAGTCTACACTTCTTTGCACTCTAACTGCAATTGCCCGAAAAGAAAGTCCAGCTTGCCGAAGTCCCACTATACGGCCGCTATCAAACTCACTAAGTTGACGAAATCGTACAATCGTACTCTAGGCATCGTAACCGATCGTAAAGGATGTCAAGAACCAAAATCCGCCAACGTTGATTCTTTACTGCGGCTGAAATATTCATTTTTAGAGCGTTAGTGAATTAAAAAAAGCAGTATAAAAACTGGAATGTCCAACTGATAAGGCTGAACATTTTTTCACTTGTTATTTACAGTAAGATAAATACATTCACCAACTTTTATTAAAATAAAACCATTTAAACTGGGTGTTCGGATTTATATGTCACTTAGTATAGTTCCCATACTGACAAGACTTTACTTTAAATTATTAATATATAAATTATGGTATTACCCTCGTATATTTAGTGAACATTATTTCTGTATTTACTTTTTTTATGATTTGAATAATGTTTGAAGTGGTTCGTCGCCTATTTTATTTAATTTATATTACTGTTGCGAGGAATAAATGTAAGCCCTACAGCTGTAAGGAAATCGTGATATCTATTATTGGGCTCTGATATTATCATCTTTGTTGACACCTTTTTGCGATTCTAGGACAACCAATGTCGCCATTGGTCTGATCAAGATGATCAAGGATGGGGAGAATGGAAGCGTTTGGGTCTCTGAGGGAAATCAGCCAATCTATGAAGTGGAGATCCCAGACAGGCTGACCTTGCGCAAGAAGTAATAATAGAGATATTTAATTATCGGTGAATAACATTATTTCCTTCCTGAAATCGGCACATATAAATATGGGTTCTGGTTTGGGTGTTCATTTCATGCATTTATTTTATATGTATATCGTTTTCATTGATATGATCTGTATTATTGTTTATGAAAGTGCTTTTGTTGTACATGAATTTTGAGGAATAAAACGATACTACCATTCATTATTTGTTGTTGCTGTTGTTGCCCAGAAACCATACAATGACAAGGATAAAGCGAAAGTGAAATTGAAGAAAAAAAAGGAGAAGAGCAAGGAAAAACATGTGTATAAATTTAAGAGGAAACACCTAGGCTTTTCAACTTGGTACTCGGATTAATTTTGAGGTGAACTAAAAACAAATTCTGATTCAGGTTTTGTTAGAGTATAATTTTGGGTTTACTAGAAGTGTGCTCATTTCTCTTCACAGTGCGAATCGTGGCCTTGAATGTTTACGAACTTGCTTCACTGTGTAGTCCACTGAATCACGCAGCAGAGGGTCGCTGTGCGATTCCGCTTGTCTATAACGTCGCTGCTCCTGAAGCTTGACATAATCTCTCAAGTACGGAATGTCAAAGACTCAGTGTAGAGTCTCATTCGAGACATACCATGTAGCGTTGCAAATTGTTCGTACAACTCTGCTTAGCAGTACTTGAAGACTTTGCATATGTGTCTTGGGAGCTCTAATAATCATATTATACACTCGAACTTTGTTTATCAAACTCAATTTGCAGGATTTATATAACAAAGGATATAGTTGCCGAAACGCAATTTGAAATTTCGTTTTCAAAGCAGCTGTATGTTTCTTCCAGGTCAAGCCTTTATCAACGGTGACACCGAGAACTGGGCAGATTTTTGCTATGTATGCCTTTACTTGGATTATACTTTATTCTGTCGTTAGGTACCTATTAATTTTCAACAAATTCTTTTTTTTTACATCTCGTATTGTTAAGGGGGTTAGATGGTAGAATAGATATATAATCTAAATCTCGCCTCCTGTAAGAATATTACAAATAAAACACGTTAATTATTATTATTATTAATTTCCGTCTACCGAAACCTCGGCTAGGGGGCCGCGACCTCTTTTGGTACAATAAATAGACTGCGTTATCGAATGTTTAATTTAATGAGTATCGTCGTCGAAAAAATTGATGTTGCATCATTTTACTTCCCAGTTTCTTTTTTCGCTTTAGGGGATACCATTTGTTTGAATAAGGGTTGCTTGACCAGGTAGCCATGCAGTGTTCAGCAGCTATAGTGTGAAGAGGAAATGACAAGCCAGAGATAATCCAAAGGCAATATCGAATGGAGTATGACGTATTACCTAGGAAAGACTAGGTTCCAAGCCTTGCATTGATTGTTAACAAATAGGTGACTTAAGGTTTTTGGTGAAAACAGCTTCAGCGACTTATCACGATTTGCTAATCTGCAGGTTCGTTTCAACTAGAAGCTCCGCTGATGTTTAACGTGGAATCTCACAATATTTCAGTGCTGTTTGTTTGTTTCAGATTTATTTAGCATTAGTGCTACAATATCCATATTACACGGTATATCACAAAATATATTATGTCTTCAAGACTACATATTTTTATACAAAATTTCACCACTATGAATTCTGGTTTTCCATGAGATATTTTGTCAATTTATCTTTGAACATTTTCAAACTGACACACATCTTGATACCATTACTTAATTTATTAAATTCGTACAATCCCTTTTGAAATACTGACTTGCTCGTTATATTGCTACTGCAGTTCTGTAAATGAAAGTCTATACTTCCTCTAGTAGAATAATTGTGGCACTCATTGTTCAATACAATAAAATTTTCCAAGTGATTTGGTTGAAGATGATTTTTTAACTTGAATATGAAAATGAAAACCAAGTAGGCTATGAAATTTTTGATATTTAACCATTGTAGTTCTTTCACCATAAAATTTATTCTAGTATATTTTGTTTTGTTTGTGATAAGTTCAAGCTTATTTACATTTAACCAATTTATTACGTTTTTCATATCATTATTTAACAGTATTGCAGTTTCAATGTCTTTATTTGATATTCAGAGTGGCGCATAGATAACGAAACAGACGCATTTACTGGCAGCTCAATTTTTTTTGGAAAAACGCTCAGACCCGTCGATTTTGTTTTCGAGGGGGATACAAGTTTGGCAAAAAATCACGTTAGCACGTGCAGTCCCCTAAGCGGGGGTGACACCACCTCCAAAATCTTAAATGGAAAGGGGGGTCGAGTGATACCTTATTTTAAAGGTCTTTCAATTCTCTTTATAATGATATAAAATTAATGTACTTCAGTTCAGTAGTTTTGAAGATTTATTGATTTAAAGCTTAAATAAAACTAATACATCATCATTAGTGGAGCAAAGTGGCAGCAAAGTAATTTAAAAATGAAGACTGTACTGACCCGTTAGGCAAGTAAATGTTGAAAATGGCCACCATGACTCTCCATGCAATAATAAAGATTTTGCTCAAAACGTTGCCGCACATTTTGCAATATTTGAGTAGTAATTTGAAGGCACTCATTCACAATTCTTTGATATTGATTTTACTTTTTAAATGACCCCACATAAAGAAATCCAAAGGTGATAAATCTGGCGATCTTGGGGGCCATTCAACTTCTTTGCATCGATATTTCGCCTCCTTTCTTCTACTGCCATTTGAATTGCTGATTCAGTAGAATGCTTTTTTCTGTATCCTGCTTGAAATTTTGTCCATATCTTACTTTCTTCAATATATTCGTTGACTTGTTCATGTATGATTCCTTCTAAGAGCTTCTCGACATCTGGCAGTACATCAATTGGCCGCATGTTTGTATGTAACTCAGAATTTTGCACTTTTGGAACAGGAGTAATTGTAGAACATTTTAACTTTGAAGGAAATTCGCCATACACTAAACTTTCTAACGAGACAATCTTCAGAGGGAGAATCGCTCATTGGCTTACTAGGACGAAACTCCCTGTAACGCCTGTTTGTTTAGCGTACATAAATATACGAACTGCTCGTCATAAATATGTCAATCAAACTGTCATCCATATCGCTGTAGAACTTTTCAGGAATGACATGTACAAAATTTTAGTACTTTGGGTGTTATAATGGCTTTGGGGCTAAATTGTCGGTGTCGTGGTAAATTCTTGTTCAGCAGAGTGAACAATCCATGCCGTGTTGGCTATCAGAGGTAAGTGGAAATTAAATATTAAAACATATATATGTTCGTGTAAATTGGATGCCTATTTGAGATTTGAGATGCAAGCGTGTCTGATGGGCTCGGCCCGGGTTTTGACAAATTTCATTGGCAGGAGAAGATTTTAAACATACTTGTAGGACATTAAGAAACGATTGATGTTTTAGTTTCTACCACTTTTACCTATAAAAGATGATTTCACGACTAAAAATGCTACCATCATCGACATTACCGTTGGAGGTGTATACAGCTCCGAAAAAAAGCTATGCATGTCATTGGGATTGATGTTTTATTATGCAACTTTATACAGGGAAAACCAAATATGTCTGTCGGGTCAAGTTTAAAGCAGATTGCCGCGTCAGCATTGCTAAGCAACGCGGTGATGAGCTTCGCTACCTAGGCGGCTTTTATCTCTTTCTAGCATGCACCGTGTTTATTTGGACACTTCCCACCGCGGATTTATTAAAAACCACTGATTCAAAGACCAAAAACTAACTACTTCATCCCCTTTCACGCTCCTCCCCCCAGTTTCATGCCTTAAAAATTTTGGGTGACAAAGGGTATCAGGTAATAGCTTGTTTGAAATGTCTTTCAAAGTAGTAGTAGTAGAAAGATTTATTTAGCACATTTGGCTTCATAAACAGAATCATTGTAAAAAACTTAGAACTAGTAAATGCAAGTCATATGGTGTATGATGTAAAAGCTGGGCAAGCTATAATAATTGTAGATTTAACAAGTGATTTCTCAATTTTACTTTAAATTTTGTCAAAGTTTTCTGATCTTTTATCTCTGAGTATAATTTATTATATTCAATCAACCCTGATGGAATACAGATTTGTAGCGTATCTTATACTTTTTGGTCATTAAATGGAAGTCATCTTTATTTCTCGTATTATGTAAGTGATGGTCGACATTTGATGATGTTAAATTGGTTAGACTTGATGGAAATATATTATTTTTTACTTTATAAGTGATTATCATTACAAGATGTTTGATAAAAAATTTTACATGGAGCCATTTTAATTTGCTGAGCATTTGCCTAATTGGAGCATATTTATGTTTATTTAATATTATTCTCATGCACTTATTTTGTAAAATTTGCAGTCTTTCAAAAATGGAATTATTTGCTAAATATAGAATAGTCGAACAGTACAAGAAGTTTGGAAGAATGATGGTATTATAGATAATTTTTCTGCTATATGAACTCAGACATCCAGAAACTCTCGATAAATATCCCACTTTGCTACTAATCTTATTTATAACTTTTTCATAATAAATATCAAAAATTAATCGAGAGTTAACAAAAACCCCAGGTATTTAAATTTTTCTAGGAATTCAATATCTTCACCATCAATATTCAGTTGAACATTTGTACATTGTTTTTTCCGATTAACAAGGCTTTCGTTTTACTTGTATTTAATTTTAGTCTGTTATATAACAAGTTTCAAGTCTTCATTTATATAAGAGATACCAGTCTGAACATTTTTAGTACTTATATAAATCATAGTGTCATCGGCGAAAATCTGAATTTTGCATTTTTTGACTATGGCAGGTAAATCATTTATGTATAAAATAAAAAGAAGTGGTCCAGGATACTGCCCTGTGGACAACCCAACGTATTTTCAATTTTTGATGACATAGTGTCATTAACTTTTGTAACTTGCATCCTTTTAGATAAATAATTTCTAAACTAATCTAAAACACTTCCTGTTATACCATATGCCTTCAATTTACCTAACAAAACATATCTATCAATCGTTTCAAATGCCCTCTTCAAATCCAAAAATACTGCTATGACAACTTCTTCTGAGTCTATGGCTCTTCTCCAATTCTCAGTTACCAACTGGAAAGCCGTTTCTGTGCAATATTTTTTTCGAAAGCCTTGCTTGCGCATCCACTAAAATTTTGTGTTCTTCTATAAACTGCATTAATTGGTCATGCACTATGGACTCTAATAATTTTTCAATGTCTGGTAACACATTTACTGGTCTCATATCGCTGCATCTTTTAGAATTTTTTATTTTGGGAACTGGTGTTATTGTAGACCATTTCAAATTTTCAGGAAAGGAACTGCTTTTCAGTGAACAATTGATCCAATTTAATACAGGATATCCCAAAATTTCGAAACAGTTTTTCAGCACGTTTTTAGCAGTGATTTCGGCACAGTTGTTATTTGATTATAAATTGTTTACTTTTTTCTTAGATAATTCAATGATACGCTGTGAAATTTTGAAAGTGTATGCAACATTTCCCCCTGGAAACTGATTTTCATATAGTCAGGTGCAGCATTGGCAGTACCCACAATATCAACAATACTTTCCACAAAATATTCATTTAGTTTGTTTGCAATCACCGAAGAATTTGTTTCGGTACCGTTTTTGAATTGAACTTGATTTACACAATCATGCGGCTTCGAATTGATCAGTCTTTTTAAAGTCTTCCACTTCTTTACACTGTCGCACTTGTTATTATCGATTTGTTTATCGTAGAATTTCCTTTCTTTCGTCTCTAATTACATACACACATTTATTCCTAAGAGTTTTATATACCTCCCAATCATCATTTGGTTTTGTGAATATACATTTATTGTATTGTTTGACTCTCAAATTTTGAGCTGCCTTAATCTTCTTGTTATACCAGGGTGTATTTTAGTCCTTTATTTTGAAGTTTGACTTTTTGAAATCAGTCGATTCGTTATCGAGAAAATTAGAAAAATCTTTATTTATCTTAATTTGTTCAGGTTGAAAACAGAAACACGCGAAAATATTACTTTATATTTCAACTACAATTTATTCAAATACAAACATCGGAAGAATGCTGTCTGTATCAGCCTGCATAAGTGACATCACGTGCCCCGCAGTTGATCCATAAATGCTTAAAAGACGCTTGGTACAAAAAGTATTCTTGTAAAAAGTAATTTCAATGTTTCCAGCTCAGATACTTACAATAACCATCCCTCATTGGGATCACAAAGAAGAAACTGTTCAAGCTCCGATGACAACAAGCCAGCCAAATGTAAGGTGGCTCTAGTGACTGGGGGTGCTAGAGGCATAGGGTATCACATTGCTGATCAACTTTTGGCTAATGGAGCACAGGTAATATGATTATTTTTCTAACAAGTGTGGAAATGTATACATTTCTTACGCGACTGCAGTCAAGTGCGGAGTAAATACTTTCCGCAAGAGTTAGGAAAAACGTTTTTTCTACCAGCGCGTTATAAGGAAAACAATACAGGGTGTTTCAGTTGATTGTTGCATAACTTTAAGATTCGACAGAACTTTTAAAATTAATGCATATAGTCTATATAAACATGGGTCGAAAAATGCGTGGCTTCCGAAATACAGGGTGTTTAAATTTACTTTCTAAAATAGTTTTTTTTTTATATATTTCGGACAATATTTGATGCGTAACAGTGAAAATTGGTATACAAGGGTTTTTTGGTACGACAAAACGAACCATGGACATAGTTTTACTGTGGCCGCTAGAGGGCGCTGTCTACTGTACCTGTAGTGTATTAAAATGACCGAACATTTTTTTTTAGTGCAATTTTTTGCTTTTTGAAAAACTGATTCTTCGCACTTTTCAACATAAAGAAGCTCTCTTGTGAATTTCCGTTATAGTTAGCCGTTTTGAGATATTTCGATTTTTAAGGGTCGATGCATTTTTAATTATTTATGGTAAAATAAAGTTAAAAAGTCAGTATCTCGATAACTTTTAGAAGTATTTTTGACATTGAAAGCAGAATAAGGTTAAACGTCAATTAGTTGACAGCTAGTTTTGTTGTCTGTTGAAACCTGAAACGTTTTTTTGCAATTGTGAATGCACGAAATTTAGTTTCTTTTACCTGTTTTTTTTTTGTAAGTTTTATAAAAATGCCATTTTTATTCTCCAATCAAGACTTAGCGGCTATTCATTTTGTGTATGGCTTTGTAAATGGAAACGCAGCAGAAGCAGCCAGAGAATACGCACGAAGATTTCCAAACAGACGACATCCAACTCGCTCAGTATTTGTAAGAGTTAATCGCCAAATAATTGAAAATGGTTTTGGAAATCTCCAATGGGATCAAAACATAAATGTTCGTCAGCGCAGATTTACCCGTATGATTCTGCGTGAGTTTGATAGAGATCCGACCACAAGTGTTAGGAGAGTTTCTGTGCCTTGGGAATTTCAGCAAGCCATGTTCACCGTGTTCTTAGAAATGACTATAGACGTCCTTACCATTTGCAACCTGTGCAAGGACTACAGCCAGGGGACGGAGAACGAAGAATCACATTTTGTCAGTGGATTCTTGATAGAACTGATAATAATAGGGAGTTTTTAAGTAACGTTTTATGGACCGATGAGTCATGCTTCACTAGACGTGGAGTGGTAAATTTTCATAATCAACATATTTGGTCGCATGAAAATCCGCATGCAGTTCGGGAAAGAAGCTTTCAGCATGAATCTAGTGTGAACGTGTGGATTGGTATCTACCGTAATCGGCTATTTGGACCCTACCTGTTGCCTGCAAGGTTAAATGCTTCTTGGAATTTTTAAAGGCTGAACATGCAAATATGTGGGATGATGTTATGTTAGATTTAAGAAGATTGGCCTGGTTCCATGTTATGTTAGATTGGAAAATTAAACAAATTAATATTCTGTTTTTTTGTGTTTATTTGGAGTTAGGAATTATTGATGTGTTTAAAAACACAATCTAAACGATCATATTATTTTCCCAAAAATAATTAAAAATGCATCGAACCTTAAAAATCGAAATATCTCAAAAACGGCTAACTATAACGAAAACTCACAGGAGAGATTTTTTATGTTGAAAAGTGCGAAGAATCTGTTTTTTTATCCAAAAAGCAAAAAATTGCACTAAGAAAAAATTTTCGGTCATTTTAATACACTGCAGGTACAGTATAGAGCGCCCTCTAGCAGCTACAGTAAAACTATGTCGTTTTGTCGTACCAAAAAACCCTTGTATACCAATTTTCACTGGTGTACATCAAATATTGTTCGAAATATTTAAAAAAAACTATTTTAGAAAGTAAATTTAAACACCCTGTATTTTGGAAGCCACGCATTTTTCCACCCATGTTTATATAGACTTTATGCATTAATTTTAAAAGTTCTATCGAATCTTAAAGTTATGCAACAATAAACTGAAACACCCTGTATAATTCTATTTTTTTGTTGATAATAATCCCTTTTGATATCCATGCTTGTCTTTTTATTTGTGTTCGTGGAATCTTTACTGTTTTGGTGCATTCAGCAATAAGGCCTTCAATGCTAGATATAAAAAGGACAAAATAAGAAATCAATATTTCAGAGAAAATTACTTGAATTTAATAAACTAAATAATGATATAAAGTCTACTTTTAATTTAAAGATATTTAAATGAAAATTGATGCAATATTTCATGGACAATGAAAATTCTTAGAGATGCATTTTTTTTTGTTTTTCTGAATATCTGTATGTTATGTAATTGTTTGGTTTTTTAGACTCGTTACAGAGCACAACAAGTGGGAATCAGTCGCAACTCTGTGCGGATAATATAGCATAACGACCTGGGATTATTTCCTTACAAGGTGCAACTTGTGCAAGAGTTGAAACGAAATGACCACCCGCTTCGATATCGTTTCTCTGCGTGGGCTCTAAATCAATTGGAAACGGACGACAGTTTTGGTCGCCAAATCATCTTTTCGGACAAAGCCAATTTCCATCTGGGAGGCTACGTTAACAATCAGAACTGTAGGATTTGGGTTTCTGGAAATCCACATGTCGTCATAGAACAGCCATTGCATCCAAAAATTGGGGTGGCTTTTGGAGTGGTGGGATTATTGGTCCCGACTTTTTTCAAGATGAAGATGGTAACAGCGTGACGGTAAACGGGGAACGCGATAGAGACATGTTGAGGAGTTTTTTGTGGCCACTATTAGACGAAATGCACTTGCACAGTCTCTGGTTCCTACAGGATGGCGCAACATTCCACACCAGCCGTGAAGCGATCGATCTTTTACACACTAAATTCGGTCATCGCGTTATCAGCCCATGGACTACTTCCTACGGGGTACTGTTAAGGACCGCTGTTACAGTAACGATCCTCAAACAATTGATGTTCTTAAGGAAAATATCCGTCGAACTATTGATGAGATAGACCCACAAACTATCGAAAACGTGTTTCAAAATTGGCTTAAGAGGATGGACTACTGCCAGGCCATGTATAGTCAACGCCAAACAAAGTGGCGTGCACGTCATTAAGGTGGGTGTATTGAAAAATTTACATTGTTGCCAAACTTTTTGTAAAATAATAAAATTTATTATTTACATATCTAGGTTTATAAGCAATATTAACCTCAAATGAGAACAAAAATAATAGTATAATAAAATTATAGATCTGTACTTGCATAATCATTAAGTATGACAATTATTGATCAGATGACACTATGAAACTACCATATTTAATTGATAGCTTAAAGGTACTGAATAAAAATCCAAATGGGGTCCTCCAAATTTTATGCATGGTATTTATTTTACAGAATTCATACAGAAAAATGCATTCTAAAATTAGGTAAGCTACTGGTGTAAGCTTTTTCTGTACAATAAAGTTAGTCGGAGTTTCTTTCTTCAGCGCTGTCTGAATCTGAATCTTCATCACTCTCAAAGTTGATTATTAAAGGTTCGATGTCTGGTCGATCAAAAGTTCGTTCTCTTTCATACCATTTAAAAATTTCTTGCTCAGTATGTCGAACACTATTTTTCCACATGTCTGGGGTAACCGTTTGTAGAGCCTCGTTCCACATATCCAAACAGTCTTTTTCACTGTTACCATCTCTACCAATATGTCTGTTATAGTAACCTTTTGCTATGCCCCAAATTAACTCAATAGGGTTAAATATACAATGGTAAGGAGGCAGACGAAGAACTTTGTGCCCATGTTGTTCCGCCAATTCATCAATCACGTATATTTTAGGTGGTTTGTTTCTAAAAAAGCAGTTATTTTAAGAATAGGAATAAACAAAAGAAATATAAACTGTCGACCAAAATATATATAATTAAGAAGCATTATGTACCGAGCAACAATACTCAATAGCTCTGTTTTAAACATTGTGTTTAAAAATGGTATGTTTTGATTTGTCAACCAGTCTTGGATATTTTTTTTTGTCCATGCATTGTTGGGCACTTTGTTCAATATCATGCTGTGATAAGGGGCGTTATCCAGTATAATCATAGATGGACTCTCCAATTTTTCTAATAACTGATGTTGAAACCATTTCAAAAAATTGTCCTGGTTCATCTCTCCATGGTAATCGCTCAATTTTGTTTTCGAAGAAAATATCGCTTCACTACCCTCAATAAACCCATTTTCATTTCCAGCATGTAATATAATGTATCTAAAATATATTAGTTTTAAATTTTATAGTGCAAATTGTGTAAAAGTACATACCTTTTACCATCTGTTTTAATAGCTTTCACGCTTTTTTGGTTTCCATTTTGCCAAGAGCGACCTATGGTCCCATTTTGAAATATCCAAGTTTCATCGAGGAAGACAAACTGGTATAAGGCCTCAACCTTGGCTTGTTTGTATTGCCTTAGAAATTCCACCCTTTTCAAAGCTATACTTGGTAGTTCCATGAGCCCTCGTCGCGGATTGTCCTTAAGCCACTTAAATCCAAGATCTCTAAGCAACCGCCTTAAAGACGTGGCACTACCATCAAATAATGCCCTATCTCTTAATCGAGACCATAAAGTTTGTATCGTAACTTGTTCTTCTGAAACCATGTGTAATATGACATTATAATTTAGTTAACAAATTAATGCAAATTTCTGATAAGTTATTATAATAAGATCTTACTTTTGTGATACATATTATAGATCACTTCTCGAATGGCACTTGTATCCAATGTCGCTGTGTTGGTTACACGTTTAATATAACTCCGCTTTTTCTTGGGCGATTCTAAATTTGCATCACTTTTCACACCCTCGGAAATACGACTAACTGTCCTTAAACTAATTTTTAAAGCAGCAGCAACACGCTACAAAAAATGAAATAAAATTTCACTATTATTAATATACATTACATATAATTATTAGTAACCTACCTCTTGAACAGCATTTAAAGGCAACAAAGGCCCGTTGTTGTCCCTTTCTTGCTCAAAGTAGTGCATTAACGAGGCCACGAGTTCCTTACACCGACTATTTAACTGTTTGGGCATCTTTATATACCAAAATTGCCTTTATCTACTCGTAAAATGAATAATTTTGTTTTGAAACAAACAGTTGTTGATTTACAGTATGCGGGGCCAAAGGATTTATAAAGATTTGAACTGCCACAAATTGATTCAGTGTCAAAATTAATACAAATGTCAGTTCCCAGTTTAAACAAGTTTCAAGGTGACAATGTGTCAACGCTGCGAAATCGGTTTAGTGCGTTTACATGTCGATAAGTGATTGGAGCGTTTGCAAAACATTTTATTTCGCATAATGCGTCTAAATTTATCAGAAAGCAACTTATGTGATATTTTAATAACAATGTTTATATGACTATTAACCATAATAAGAGAGTAATGACCATTTTACAATTTATATATCACATTAATATGAAACTGCAATAGAGCAATTGTTTGTGATAGAAACCTAGGCATTAGGTCGGGGAATTTTTATCGTGATGACGTGCACGCCACTTTGTTTGGCGTTGACTATAACTGAAATTGTTTTTCATAAATAATCGGAAGGTGTATTCTTTTGAATAAGGTATCGAGTATATTATTGAAGAGTGTAGTTTTAATAATAATTTAAAAAAGAAAATTAACCAAACTATTTATAAATCATTTTTTCTAGTAAGCGGTGGAACTATTCGTATCTCACGTGCGAGAAGATCGAATGTTACATGTAATTCGAGTGTTCGGCGATCGTTTGGCCTCTTATCCGCAAGTTCCGCTAAAACAGATAATTTACCGTACAGCACATACGGTCGCGAAACGCATTCATCAGTTTATTGAATACTTGTTTGGCCGTTAACCTAGTTCTCGCAATTTTTACGGCTTTCTCGCTAACACGGACCTCGTTACATTCAACCACGTCGTCGCTGCATGTACCGGAAAAATTGAAGCTGCTACAGTAATACCTTGCTGGATATGTTCGTACATACAGGGTGGAGTTACCTGTAATCGGTAAAATTTGATGTGTTAGCACGATTAATACAGGACGTCTGATTGGAACTTTAGATGGTATTGCGAGGAGAATTGTATGACAACAAAACGTGTCAAAAGGGATAATAATAATAATAATAATAATAATAATAATAATAATGATGATGCTAATAATAATAATAATAATAATAATAATAATAATAATATATAATAACAATGATTTATTGGTGTTCTTACACAGAACGCGCTTACACAAGTCAATATAATAGAAGCGTAGCAGGAAGAACCAGGTGACAAAGAATAAAAATAATACCAAGCACTACAGAGGTAAAAAAAATATAATAAGCTAGGTCAAATCAATACATAAATGGGATAAGAGATAAAACCCTAATAAATAATATATAACATGAGAGCAAATTTTTTATAGCATTACTGAATCCATTGTATTCTAGAGATCTTAGTTCCTTAGCTAAATTATTATAAAATTTTATGCCAGGGTAATTAACTCCATTTCTCGTTTGAGCAAGTCTATGTTGCTTTGGGTATAAGATGTCTCTGTGTCGAGTATAAGATGAATCAGTTTAATACTGGCTTGTATCAAAGTCAGGATTTAACTTGACATGCAAAAGGCAGCTTAATATTACGAAAATGTGGGTCGTGCCAAGAAAAAAATCCTGCATTTACATTTTATTTGTGAAAAATAAGCATTATCGCACTATTAGGGAAGTAACATTTAGGCATAAGACCGTAAGACGGGCGCCCTTGTCGCTCGACGTCAACAAAGCTTCTGGTCTGGACTGGATGCCTGCCGTTGCATTGAAGAGGTGTGCAGCGGTCCTTGCTCCAGTTGCTTTGCGTCTCTTCCAGATATCTTTCGATTACGGCATCTTCGCAGAAAACTGGAAATTTGCTCATGTACAATCCAGTCCAAAAAGGGATCCGAGATTGACCTCTACTCTATTATTTTTCATATAGTTATTTCAATGCTAACGAAATGGAAATTGAACCTTTTTATTCTGCCAAAAATCAGTAAAAATTAATCAACTCCTAATCTGATGAAAAATATTCGTATATACACATTAAGTTTCAGTTAAAAAAATAATTGGATTACACATTTTTAATAGTACAAATATTAACTTCATTGCAAAACATTTTAAGTCTTAATTTTGTTGCATTATTATAAAACTATTGTATCTCCAAAACTCACTGAGGGCTGTACTAGTATGCGACAATCCACGGATTTTAAGTAGTGCTATTTTTTTAAATAAACAGCAACGAAGTGAAAAATTAAAAATGGTTCAACGTGTCAACGGGATTAGAATCGCATGGATGAAAATAAAAATAATATATACAAAGTTGCCTAAATTTTGCAACTTTTTTGCATAACCTGAATTTTTTTATCATAACTAAAAACGTAGCCATCTTTTGACTAGAATTCATGTGGCGTTACGTCCAGAAATAACCAAACAATCTAACAAATGACAGCGTTTACATCGGACGTACTGAGTTGACCTACTTGACGCCAAATACAGTAATCTACAAGTTGATATTCGGTTTCAGGCCGTGAGATGAAAATAAAAATAATATATATATAGAGTTGCCCCAATTTTGCAACTTTTGTTGCATAACCTGAATTTTTTGTATCATAACTAAAAACGTAGCAATCTTTTCACTAGAATTCATGTGGCGTTACGTCCAGAAAGAACCAAACAATCTAACAAATGACAGCGTTTACATCGGACGTACTGAGTTGACGTACTTGACGCCAAATACAATAATCTACAAGTTGATATTTGGTTTCAGGCCGTGATTATAGGGGACGTGCTGGTGGACGAATGCGAGAAAACTTGCACAAAATTTAATGAAAAGTATGGCGAGAACAAGGCACTGTTTCAACCCTTGGATGTTACCAAAAAGGATCAAATGGACAGTAAGTTACCAGCTTAATTATAACTATGTTCGGTCCTCGTCAAATATTTAGAATACATATCGTAGTACCCTCGTAGTAGTACCCAACCGCCACGAGAACAAGGAATAATGTATTCTAAATACTTACTTCACATAATTAAGATCGAACATCACTCACAGGTAAGTTCGTTTGATCATGTAATTATAGATGCTAGCACATGCACAGTAATAGTCATTTGCTAGCAATTATATTCGGTCAAAAAATATCACCCTGTCCTATGCAGAAAACGGATTTTGTTACCGTTTAAAATGGCCAGAAATGTCTTTCCAGAACAGTATGCCTGTTAGTTATGAATCATCACAAAACTGTTTTTGCCTAGTCCACTGGGTAGTAGGAAAGGGAAGTAGACCTACAGCTATTCCTTGACAGATATATACTGAGTGACGAAATAAGGTAAACACCAACGTTTATCCGATTTTAATAATTTTTGGCTAATATGTTCAGTGTCACTTATTAGTAAAACGATTAAATTTTCAGCTTGGTTCGTCAACTGACTGCAGAAGCTGGTTCAATGATGTGTTGAGGATCTATGATTTCTTATACACTCATTGACGCGCCTGTTCAGTACGCGTTTGTGAGTCAGGAAAAGGTTTTAAGATGTATGCCAGGTGTAGACTCCAGGTATAGCTGTAGAGGCTTATTTAAGAAATATCTTGTACTGACCCTACCCTCAATATTTATTTACAAGATGGCCATATACACCCTCTCGAACCCGACCAATTTTCTGTTAAATAACCGAATTCGTGGAGTCGACACTAAGCAGAGCACCCATAAAATTGGGCCTTAGTGAAGCAGAATACGAGGGTGGTCCCAGAAGTACCCGAGCCAACGAAAATTTTTGTAAAAAAGTGGTATTTATTTGAAATAAAAGTATTGTACCACACAACGAATTTTCTCCATTTTCACAAATTCACTGAAAACGTTAAGTATTAAACAAATACTAAACAACGTGGCGTCTTCAAACTTGACACATATGCTTTATAGGTTGCCTACTTCCTAATACAATGATATTTTTCAAACAACTGTCGCCATCTCTAGGTCAGGCCGGGTACTTCTGGGACTAAGCGCAGATTGTGGCTCATACTGTAGCCAAAACAAAAAAATTGGCTTTATCCGATAAAGTACCCAGTACAAATACTTAGACTTACGTTTGATGTCGATATAGCTGGAGCTGCTTCACACAGGATTCCCTTCAGATTTTCATCCATTTCTGTTCTCAATTCCAGAAATATTCAAATGCACTAAGGACCGATTCGGCAAAATCGATATAGTGGTGAATAATGCAGGTATTCTGGCGGACAAGCGATGGGAAGATACCATCGCGATAAACATCGTAAGTAAACAATCTCGTTACGGTGCAAACTTAAGCTGAATTTAATAGTCCGTGAACTCTGTATGCAGCTCTCGTTTGTCACTGTACGAGTCGATGTTGTTTTAAAATATGTTGCTTACAGAAAAGTAAAAGTATTATGATGATCTTAGTCGATATTAGAATGTTAATGTTGTTCTTGATTTTGTAATATGAGAAGAAGACTAGCAGCGTTATCACTATTTGGGGACGCAACAATCTTGTACAGTTTAATGCTTCCAAATCACAGCACTCTAATTTGAAGAATAAAAAGCGTCCTAGAGTTCATCCGGTTTCGATGGATGGCTGAGTTTTGTCAAAGAGTCGTTTATTTCTTTCCAGTTTTTTAAAAACCGTTTTTTCCGCGTATTTGGGCCAGGCAACGTGCAGATTTGTTAAAAAGACCCCCTTTTTTAGCAAGATAATGCAGAAAATATGAATCAGAATATGTTTCCCATATATATAATAGTATATATATAAATTAATATAATATACTAAGTGACATATAAATCCGAAGACCCAGTTTAAATGGTTTTATTTTAATAAAAGTTGGTGAATGTATTTATCTTACTGTAAATAACAAGTGAAAAAATTTTCAGCCTTATCAGTTGGACATTCCGGTTTTTATACTGCTTTTTTTTTAATTCACTAACGCTCTAAAAATGAATATTTCAGCCGCAGTAAAGAATCAAAGTTGGCGGATTTTGGTTCTTGACATCCTTTACGATCGGTTACGATGCCTAGAGTACGGAGACCTGTACGATTTCGTCAACTTAGTGAGTTTGATAGGGGCCGTATAGTGGGACTTCGGGAAGCTGGACTTTCTTTTCGGGCAATTGCAGTTAGAGTGCAAAGCAGTGTAGGCACTGTGGTTAGGTGTTGTCAGGCATGGCTTCGAGAAGGCCGTACGCAAAGAGCAAGGGGCACTGGACGCCGCCGTAGAACAACAGACCGTGAAGATCGCCGCCTAAGATTATTGGCCTTAAGGGACCGTTTCTCCACTACCAGGTCCATTGCAAATAAATGGTTTGCAGAACACGGAAGACCTATTGGCATGCAAAGTGTTTACCGACGAATGAGAAGTTTTGGCCAGGGTTAGACGGCGACGTGGTGAAAGGAGGAATCCACAGCTTTTTGTTGAAAGACATGTTCATCACACTGTTGAAGTTATGGTTTGGGGTGCTATAGCTTATGGTTCCAGGTCACCTTTAATCTTCATCGGAGGTAACACGAACGCGCAGCGTTATCTCCACGAAGTTCTAGAACCCCATCTTTTACCCTATCTTGACACCCTGGCAGATCCAACTTTCCAACAAGATAATGCCCGATCGCATGTTGCAAGAGTCACAATAGACTTCTTTCAACATAATGATGTCACATTGTTACCATGGCCACCAAGATCTCCCGACTTATCCCCCAATTGAGCACGTGTGGGATATGATGGGTAGGAGATTGCTCAATTTGCAACGTCCTCCTCAGACTCTAGAAGCACTTCGAGAGGAGATGGTGGTTGCCTGGAATGAGATACCACAGGAGGACATTGCAGCATGCCTAGGCGCGTTGGAGAATGCGTAGCACATCAGGGTGCATCCACACATTATTAAAGGTCAAAGGGCTTTAAAGCAGTGCAATCATTTTGAAATTTATTTATCACTTACTTATTATGCTTCATTAAGTACTTATACAAAATTTTATTAAAATAAAACCATTTAAACTGGGTGTTCGGATTTATATGTCGCAAAAAACACGAAAAACAAACCGTTTTGATTACTAACGCGATCCACGATCGTGTACTACATTCTTGGTATGAATCTGGCATTGCCACGGATTTCGAGAAGCCCTTTTTTGTTCTAGCTCTTGGAAAATCTTAATTAAACCCTCTAACCCAGCATTTGTTGTTGAGTGGAAATCAGCCATATCGAATAAAACCTAGGTTAACAATGGAGAGTTTTTAGTGCTATTATTTTTCTGCTTCATTATGGTCTTCATTATTTCGATTTTGCGCAGTCTCGAAAGATTTATTCTTTCTCCATTATCGAAATAAGCTCCGTTAGTTATGGATAATAGAGGGCTTATTTCATAAAGTTATTTAAAACAATTTCGTGTTATAAAGTCATTTTAGTTAAAATATAATAAATGAATGGGTTTTAGATCATAGATTGAAAAATATGCAAGAACAGGGTAGTGATTGTCCCGATTTTGTTGTATACAGGGTGTTTCAAACTCGAGCTTCACCATTGGGATTTTGGATACTGCGAGAGACACGAAGTAGCTTAAACGGGATAAAAGTTGCATATTTATGTAATGAATAAAATGTCGCTAAGACGGAAAAAAACGGATTTTTAAAAATCATTTTAATTTTTTCCTGGCTTTATTTGTAGTGGAATTTCAAAATAAATTGCACATTAACATTGTCAACTTTTAACCTCTACAATATGGCATCAGAAGGATTCCAATACGACGTCCTCCAGCGTCAACTTTATTTTCTCTTGGACGCCATTTTGGATTTTGGCTCAGAAAATCTACGAGGTTTATTCAAAAAGTATCGCCAATTTTGGATTTTCACTATTGTTGAAAATATCAGCCATTTTGAATGTTCAGTCACTTTTTAACAGCTATTGTTTGTGAACATGTTGTAGCTTGTCTCCGATTCTTGTCTATTCCAAAAACTGGACCAAAGAATTTGTGTTAAATTTTGTGTAAAAAACAACTTGAAGTGCGCGGACATTTTACAAATGTTGACTGTTGCATACGGCGAAGCTACTTTGGACAAAAGCAACGTTTATCGGTGGTACAAAATGTTCTCAGAGGACCGACAACAGACGAAAATATTGACGAGTCCTTGTCGCAACGTAGAACGGCCAATATGGAATATTACCTACAAGTAATGCGCAATTTGCCAGAAGCAATCCGCCAGAAACGCCCGGATTTGTGGAAGAACAAAAATTGACTTTTGCACGATGATAGCGTCCCTGCTCATGCATCGTTACTTGTGCACGAATTTTTGGCCAAAAACAACACTCCAATAATGCCTCACCCACCGAATTCCCCAGACCTGACCCCCTGTGACTTTTTGTTGTTCCCGAAACTGAAGAGGCCCATGAAAAGACGACGCTACGAAACGATTGAACAAGATCACAACAAATGATTTTTCAAAATGCTTCGAGGACTGGAAAAAACGTTATCACAAGTGTATAATGTCTGATGGGGATTACTTTGGAGGAAACAAAATAGATATTCATGAATAAATAAATAGTTCTTGAAAAAACATGAAATTCGCGATACTTTTTGAACAAGCCTCCTAGTTTCTACTTCTGGTTTCAAAAATTTATAATATGATACAGGTACATCGACATTGCCAACCACTAGTTATGCCATAAAAACAGAATTTCCTAGATAAGGCTAGAAATTATTACACAAATATTACAGAAACGAAAACCTTTTTGAATTTGGATTTTGGAATGTCGGTATTAGCTCCACGTCAAAATAAAAAATCGACCAGTCATGATTGTCAATAGTCACTACTATCAAATTACCACGTTTCACTTTAGGTACTACAATAATTCTTCTTTCTCCAGACATCGTTATTTGTGATGGCCCTCAAAAATAATGTACGAAAAGGGCTTAGCAACTCTTTATTCCTGTTGCATTAAAAACTTTAATAACCATTTTTCCAGAGCGGGGTCGTTTACGGTACTCTGTTAGGATTTCAATACATGACAGCTGAGAAATGTGGCCCTGGAGGGTTTATAATCAACGTGTCATCCATTTTGGGTCTACAACCGTTGTACAGCAGTCCAGTATACGTTGGGACCAAACATTTCGGCATCGGATTCAGCAGGTCTATGGGCCATGAATACTTCTACAAAAAATCCAAAGTCAAGGTATGAAAATATCTATTTCTATCATTGGCGGTGCTTTATAACGGGTGATTTTTTAAGAGGTATAGGATTTGATTTTCAAAAAAAACACAAAAATTGGAAAAAACGATTAAATCTTTATTGGAGTCGATAGAACGGTCGACATAATTTAATGTTTAAAGATTATTTCATGTTCTCCGCTTTAGATAAGGTCCAATTTTGGCACACTCTCTCCAACATATCGGCCGGTATCTCACGAATAAATGCTTCAATATTGACTTCCAGTCCGTCAGTCGTTGCTGGTTTATCTCTGTCGACATTAGCCTTAACATGGCCCACAATAAATAGTCCAACGGCGTTAAATCACACGATCTAGGCGGCCAATTGACGGGCCCCAAACGTAAGATAAACTGTTCACCGAATTCGCCTCTCAATAGGGCCATTGTTTCGTGTGCGATGTGGCATGTGGCACCGCCTTGTTGAAACCACATGTCAGCCAAGTCCAGCTCTTCCATTTTGGGCAAAAAAAAGTTTGTTATCATCGCACGGTAGCGCTCGCCATTCACAGTTAGTTCCGGCCATTGTCGTCTTTGAAGAAGTACGGCCCGATGATGCCACCGGCCCATAATCCACACCAAGCAGTGATTTTTTCGGGATGCATTGGTAGCTCTTGCAATGCTTCTGGCTGATCTTCACTCCAGATGTGGCAATTTTGCTTGTTAACGTACCCATTCAACCAGAAATGAGCTTCGTCGCTGAACACAATTTTTCGATAAAAATGTGGATCTTCCTCCAACTTTGCCAGCGCCCATTCACCAAATTGGAAACGTTGTGGGAGCTCGTGTGGCTTCAATTCTTGCACCAGCTGTATCATATAAGGTTTTACACCGAAATCCTGTCACAAAATTTTCCACGTAGTGCAGTAACAGAGGCCCAATTGCTGCGAACGGCGGCGAATCGACATTTTACGGTCACCACTAACACTGGCGGATACAGCCGCAATATTTTCTTCAGTCCTCACTCTACGTCTGCGTATTGGTGGTTTAATGTCCAATAATGTAAACTGGGTTCGAAATTTAGTCACAAGCTTCCGAGTAGCTCCCTCAGTAGGCCGACCAAGTTGCCCATAAATTGGAAGCAGTTTTGATAGTAAAATTCAATAATTTGCAAGCGTTGTTCGTTCGTAAGTCGATTCATGGTTAAATTATAGACCAAACTGAACAAGTATGACAATGACACAAGACACGATTCACGCGTCATCTGGCAAAAACAGTGTTGACGGAGATATTTTAGAGGGTGATTCCTTGTTAAAAAAATATGAAAAAGAGTTTCTAAAAACATGGGTCCCGAATTGTAGAATTTCCATGATACAGGGCGGTAAATTGAAAAAAATTGTTTAATAATATCCTAACAAATATTCACTCGATTCTGTTGAAATTTGGCAATATCATGTTTTGTATTAAGAGACTAAATAGATTTTTATTATTAGGTCTAGTGGCGCTCCGGGATGCATCTTAGCGAATATTATTAGCAAAAAAATGTACGCCACTGCATTTTTTTAATATTTGCTTTTTGATTAAGCATCTCAAAATACAACTTCGTTTCCTCTTGTATCTTTACCGTATCTAACTTCGTTTTCCATAAAAAACCGTTTTATTGCATGCCAATAGAGAAAACTGGTTTATTACTTGTTGCTAAAAAAATCACAAGTGCCTTGGAAAACAAAAATAAAAAGTTAGCCTCTCGATACAAAAAATATTTGTTTAACAATGAACACCAGTTCCTTCATATAGACCTATAGCAGGAATCCTAATTGATAGGGGCCAGAGATGTATACATGTTTGATCATCTACATAATTTATAGGTTATGGCAGTGTGCCCGGGAGTAACCGACACGAACATGATAACGGAAGCTGCTCAGGGTGGTCTGCCGGGATTCGGCGACCTTGGAAAGGAATTAGCGTCCTCATTGGGAGCGTTACCAGCACAGCCGTGAGTTTAGATTACTGATTCCGTGTTATTTTAACAAAAGTTGAGAGGGTGACTACGTATTGTCTTTTGCAGGAGCATCCACTATGGCAGAATGATATAGTAATATATTCAAATAGAAACCCCTAGTTTTGATGCCGGAAGAACAAAAAAAATTATGTTCAAGCACAATTAAAGTTCAAGGCCAGGATAACTACTAAAGGTCAAATTCAAACCCTCAGGAACAGTATCGGTTAAAAATCATTTGTAACGAGCTTCATAGTTCCCTCGCTAAAACTTTCCCGAATAACAAGTCATTTTCGTCAATATTTGTGTAACCTTTCTAAAAGTGTTCCTAACAGTAAACATTTGGCCTTTAAGTGACCTCTAGTGGTTGAATTGACTTTGAATTGTAATGCACATTTGAACATACAATTCCCGGCTCTCTGGATTATCGGCATCATATTTGGAAAAAGAGGTGATCTTGAAATGACCTTGAAGATCAAATCCAGGCTCACTCGTCAAAATTTACTGAAGAATTGACACTGATAGCTATAATCCCGTCATATTCATAGTGGTTTTCCTAGCAGTACACATTTGACCTCCATTTGACCTTTAGGGGTTACCATTACCTTGGTCTTCACTTTGTATTTGAACATAAAATTTGTCGCTATTTCGACTGCCGGCATTGAAAATAGAGATTATCTTTAAGCAAATCAAGTTGATCTCGAAATGGCCTTGAAGATGAAGATAAACGTCAAATCCAACATCACCTTTCACTCGCTCATTGAAATTTACCAAAGACCTGACTAGGTGGTTGTTTTCGTTTCTAATCATGTCAGATTTATAGAGTATTTCCTAGCAAGACACATTTGACCTTTGGATGATACCCTGATCTCACACTTCATTTCGTATACTAAGTGACATATAAATCCGAACACCCAGTTTAAATGGTTTTACTTTAATAAAAGTTGGTGAATGTATTTATCTTACTGTAAATAACAAGTGAAAAAATTTTCAGCCTTATCAGTTGGACATTCCGGTTTTTATACTGCTTTTTTTTAATTCACTAACGCTCTAAAAATGAATATTTCAGCCGCAGTAAAGAATCAACGTTGGCGGATTTTGGTTCTTGACATCCTATACGATCGGTTACGATGCCTAGAATACGGAGACCTGTACGATTTCGTCAACTTAGTGAGTTTGATAGGGGCCGTATAGTGGGACTTCGGGAAGCTGGACTTTCTTTCCGGGCAATTGCAGTTAGAGTGCAAAGAAGTGTAGGTTAGGTGTTGTCAGGCATGGCTTCGAGAAGGCCGTACGCAAAGAGCAAGGGGCACTGGACGCCGCCGTAGAACAACAGACCGTGAAGATCGCCGCCTAAGATTATTGGCCTTAAGGGACCGTCAGGAATGGAACAGTATTGTCTTTAGTGACGAGTCTCGATTTTGTTTAGGCATGCACGATGGTCGTGCCAGGGTTAGAAGGCGACGTGGTGAATGGAGGAATCCACAGTTTTTTGTTGAAAGACATGTTTATCACACTGTTGGAGTTATGGTTTGGGGTGCTATAGCTTATGGTTCCAGGTCACCTTTAATCTTCATCAGAGGTAACATGAACGCGCAGCGTTATATCCACGAAGTTCTAGAACCCCATCTTTTACAGTATCTTGACACCCTGGCAGATCCAACTTTCCAACAAGATAATGCCCGACCACATGTTGCAAGAGTCACAATAGACTTCTTTCAACATAATGATGTCACATTGTTACCATGGCCACCAAGATCTCCCGACTTATCCCCAATTGAGCACGTGTGGGATATGGTGGGTAGGAGATTGCTCAATTTGCAACATCCTCCTCAGACTCTAGAAGCACTTCGAGAGGAGTTGGTGGTTGCCTGTAATGAGATACCACAGGAGGACGTTGACCACGTGATCAGAAGCATGCCTAGGCGCGTTGGAGAATGCGTAGCACATCAGGGTGCATCCACACATTATTAAAGGTCAAAGGGCTTTAAAGCAGTGCGATCATTTTGAAATTTTTATCATTTAATTATTATGCTTCATTAAGTACTTATACAAAATTTTATTAAAATAAAACCATTTAAACTGGATGTTCGGATTTATATGTCACTTAGTATACTTGAACGTAAGATTTTGCGCTCTTCCCTTAAAGGTCAAGGTCTAATCCAAGATCAGCGTTCACTTCATCGTTAAAATTGACCAAATACCTGACTTTTAGTTATTTTCATCGCTAATCCTATGAGATTTACAAAGGTTTTCTCAGCAGCACACATCTGATCTTCATTTGACCTTTAGCCATGATCCTGACCTTGTACTTCACTTGTGCTTGAACGTAAAATTTTCTGTTATTTCGATTGCGGTATCAAAAGTAAACTTGATCAAGAATTAACCTTGAACGTGAATGTCAAGGTCAAATTCAAGGTTACCGCTGAATTCCAAAAATACCTTAGCCGATAGGGCCGATCCGAGATTTTTGTGTTACGCTGTATATATATAGGATGAAATTTGATGCATCTTGGACCCCCTTCCACGTTCTAGAAGGATTACGATGAATTACTAGTAACCTTGTATATCCAAATGAAAACGAGGTAAAAAACCGTCTTTGCTGCCAAACATAGCTTTACATCACACCTATAGATTCTCGATCCGTCTCTCCAAGGTAACGTCACCACCACCGCCCTCGAAATACCATAAATAAGAGGATTGTCTGTGAGATTGAAATCCTATTCATATTTCAGCGCTGAAGAAGTAGGCAAGGGGGTTATAACGATGATTAAGGACGGCGAAAACGGTAGCGTATGGATATCTGAAGGCTGCGAGTTTTACAAAGCTGTGTTGCCCGACAGGAAGTCTTTTAAACCACCCCCATCGCCTAAGGAAGATCCTTGCAAGAAGAAGGAAGATCCTTGTAAGAAGGAGGAAGATCTTTCTAAGAAGACGGAAGATCCTTGTAAGAAGAAGGAAGATCCTTTCAAGGAGAAAGAAGATCCGTGTAAGAAAAAGGATCCGTGTAACGATAAGGAAGATCCAAGCAAGGTTTGTAGCTTTTGAGGTTATATAACTCGTTATATAGGGAATTTCAAATTTGTCTTTCGCCAAGACCGTATGGGGGCATTATCTGAAACGAAATTGGAAACTATAGACCCATATCTATCTTATCAGAAAATATTTGAAATGATTCCGTATCCTTTGGTCTAAAGCCAAGCTTACGTCTCTCAGCATGGTTTTTTGATCTGCTGTCACCAATTTGGCTGGTTTCATGCAGTTTGTCATTTTGGACAGTCATGATCAGCTGGATAAGGTCTATACAGATGCTTTTAAAGCGTTTGACAAGACATATCATTATACATCATTAAGCAAAGAATCTAATTTTGGATTTGATTATATAATTGTTAATTTCTTTCAATCACATCTTGAAAATAGGTTCCAATACGTTTTTTATAATGGTTTTGTATCTCAAGAAGATATAACAGCGTCAGGTGTACCGCAAGGTTCCAGCTTAGGTCCACTTCTATTTTTACTGTACATAAACAATCTGTCTTGCAACTTTTCCTCTTTGAATTTGTCATTCGCTGATGATCTGAAAATATTCGTAGCATCTCAGATTGCTGTATTCTACCTCAGAAACTTGATGATCTAAGTGAAAAATGCTAAGATTTTTCAAGAAAAAATCAGATAATTGAAAATAAATATAAGGCTGCGAATAAGAATTGAACAAATTGAGGTTCTGGGTGTGTGGTTTGATGAAGAACTAGACCTTAATTATCAACTTAAAAATATCAAAGGCATTCAAATTCTATGGATTTATAGTCAGAAACTGTAAAGCGTTCGGTGATATATGAGTGCAAAAGTTATACTGTGCATATATTTGTTCTAGATTAAAATATACTAAGTGACACATAAATCCGAACACCCAGTTTAAATGGTTTTATTTTAATAAAATTCTGTATAAGTACTTAATGAAGCATAATAAGTAAATGATAAAAATTTCAAAATGATTGCACTGCTTTAAAGCCCTTTGACCTTTAATAATGTGTGGATGCACCCTGATGTGCTAACCATTCTCCAACGTACCTAGGCATGCTTCTGATCAGGCAACCACCAACTCCTCTCGGAGTGCTTCTAGAGTCTGAGGAGGACGTTGCAAATTGAGCAATCTCCTACCCATCATATCCCACACGTGCTCAATTGGGGATAAGTCGGGAGATCTTGGTGGCCATGGTAACAATGTGACATCATTATGTTGAAAGAAGTCTATTGTGACTCTTGCAACATGTGGTCGGGCATTATCTTGTTGGAAAGTTGGATCTGCCAGGGTGTCAAGATAGGGTGAAAGATGGGGTTCTAGAACTTCGTGGATATAACGCTGCGCGTTCATGTTACCTCTGATAAAGATTAAAGGTGACCTGGAACCATAAGCTATAGCACCCTAAACCATAACTCCAACAGTGTGATGAACATGTCTTTCAACAAAAAACTGTGGATTCCTCCTTTCACCAGGTCGCCTTCTAACCCTGGCACGACCATCGTGCATGCCTAAACAAAATCGAGACTCGTCACTAAAGACAATACTGTTCCATTCCTGATCCCAGAGTGACCGTTGTCTGCACCACTCAAGGCGATTACGTCGGTGTTCTCGAGTTAAAGGGAGGACCCAGTGTGGCCGGTATGAAAACAAGCCAAAACTTCTCATTCGTCGGTAAACACTTGCATGCCAATAGGTCTTCCGTGTTCTGCAAACCATTCATTTGCAATGGACCTGGTAGTGGAGAAAAGATCCCTTAAGTCCAATAATCGTAGGCGGCGATCTTCACGGTCTGTTGTTCTACGGCGGCGTCCAGTGCCCCTTGCTCTTTGCGTAGGGCCTTCTCGAAGCTATGCCTGACAACACCTAACCACAGTGTCTACTCTTCTTTGCACTCTAACTGCAATTGCCCGAAAATAAAGTCCAGCTTCCCGAAGTCCCACTATACGGCCCCTATCAAACTCACTAAGTTGACGAAATCGTATAGGTCTCTGTACTCTAGGCATCGTAACCGATCGTAAAGGATGTCAAGAACCAAAATCCGCCAACGTTGATTCTTTACTGCGGCTAAAATATTCATTTTTAGAGCGTTAGTGAATTAAAAAAAAGCAGTATAAAAACCGGAATGTCCAACTGATAAGGCTGAAAATTTTTTCACTTGTTATTTACAGTAAGATAAATACATTCACCAACTTTTATTAAAATAAAACCATTTAAACTGGGTGTTCGGATTTATATGTCACTTAGTATATATGCATCTTTAGTTTGGAATCCATCCTACATAACCTCTTTAGAATAGATACAAAGCCGTTTCTTTAAAATGTGATGGTCCATATTCTATAACGGACATTTCTGAGGTTCATCTGTGTTATAGGTTCCTTGATTTAAGGCGTGTTCAATCTTCCTTCGCATTTTTATATAAACTGTTGCATAACAAGATAGATAGTATGCGACCATTATCCCGCCGTGATTCAGGCTTAAACTGTACCCCTATTTTATGCTGGATCGCAGCTATACATTATTTTGATATTATTAATGACGTGTGTAATGTCAATGCTGACTGTCTCGTCTTTTGGTCGCATAAATCAGCTGAACGATATGCTCAGATGAATTACATTATCTAATCGCTCCTTTTTATCTCTTTTAGATAGGTGGCTGGTTATTGTTTTGTGTGTTTATAGTTTGTCCTGGATATGGAATGAATTTATGTTTTGATGCTTTGTCATTGAGAATGATTGAATCCTTTAGGCAATACAGCACATTTATCTATCTGTTTATCTATCTTTCTACTAAAACCTTTTATCAAGTAAAACAAACGTTACAACTCGATCCGTTCTATTCCAGATATATTTCTAAGTTTGACATTTTGTAAGTTGGTTCCTCAGTGCATAGTTCCTCGGGTCCTTTGAAACGTAAGTCCACCAACACTGATTATAACTTTCTGCATTCGCTTTTAGAAGGGCGAGAAGAAAGGAGAGGAAAAAGACGGGAAGAAAGAGGAGAAGGAGGACCCGTGCAAGAAGATTATGAAGAAAGATGGTGCTGGAGATGCTAAGAAACCGGCTCCCGGAAAAGATGGCAAGAAGAAGTAGTATTTTTTCAGTGTTAATTTGAATATGGTGATGTTACGGTCTGACAAATAAATTTTACTGTCTAGTGTTTGTAACTACTTTCTTGTGACGCATGATCCAGTGACAGATCCAGATTTTTCTCAATGAGAAAGACGCTAGGCCTTGCTGCTCCTTAGGTAGCGTGAGCATAGATTATCCAAGTACTTAGGAAACAGTACATTTAAAATTGTTCGATAAGCACCGTGCAATGAGACGAACCCTGACTTACCATTATTTCCGTTAGTCGCAGCTCATGCAAAAAGAAACCAAAACCTCAAAGATGGATGTGAATTTTGGAATCAACGCGAATATTCAATAACTGTATTGTATATCTCATGCTGAATCCAGATATCATATTAGCCTCATTGTAAACCGAAGAGTTTCAGACGGACTTCTTCCTATATAATAATACCGCGTTTTAACAGGCTTTCTTATAATTCATGTCTAGTGGTTACTATTTTGTAGTCCTGTAACGTGAAACTCAAAAACTGAAGCTTACAAACGTATGGACACATCCAAATAACTCGGAAACTAAGTGTGATAAAAAAAAGCTTAAAATACAAGAGTTACAGGAAATCAAATGGCGCATCTAGCGAACGTTGACATTCATCTTGGAGGTCATTATAAGGGTAAGTTGATTCTTTCAAATAGAAATCCTCGTTTTTATTGCAGAAAATTCCATTTTCAACGCTATAAATATCATAGCGGCTAGAATAACGTCTAAAGGTTATTTCAAGGTCAGTTGTTGATCTTTCGTGGAATGATGGGAAAAAATGATATTAAAGAAGAACGAAAATTGCAGTACACCGAACGGCACATCTGGTGACCTTCATTTTGACCTTGGCTAAGACCTTGAAGGTTTGGTCAAGGACAAATTGATTTTTTTCACATTGAAGCCCTCAATTTTGATCCCAGAGCTGAAAATGGAAATATGTTCGACGGATGTAAAATCATACCTAGAGATTATATCAAGGTCAACTAATCTATTTTCTTAATATATTCGAAAATTCTTTGTCCTGCAATTTTGATCAAATTAGGTTTTGAAAGATCTTCAAAGGACGTGGAAAAGCCGAATGCATCCCAAGTACCACTTTTTGAATTCTGGAACGATGGTTTGGTATATATGGTGTTTAGAAGGTCCGGATATGAAAAATAATCGTGAATACCATGAGTGAAAAAGAAATTCTACCCATGTATAAGCGAAGAATTTTGCGAAGGCTATTTGACGGTAACCTTGAATTTGACTTTGAGCTTGACCTTCACGCTTACTTCAAGTCCATTTTTTAAAGAAGTAATTTCTTACGAACTCATAGTTTTTAAGCTTACTTTATCAGTTAGATATTTGGTCCCGGTCTCGACTTTCAAGGGTACATTTCTTTGGAGGTCAAAGACTGATTCGATCGTTATATTTCCCGCTCTATAGATTTGGTTCATGTCAAAAAAATGTTGCCTGATTGTCATCATTGTTTATCACAGCGGTCCGTAGGACTACACTTGGTTAAAATTTTGTCACTAGGTCTGGCAGGTCTAGATACCAGACAGTGTCAGGTAGAAAAAAGGGAAGAGGAAAGAAAGGAAGGAGTGATAGTAAAGAGAAAGAAATGCGTCAATTTGAGGGGCGCCTTGGTATTGCTAGCTAGGCTTCGGGAGCTTTATATTGATCCTAGAATTAATCTAGACTTTGGTTGTTGAAAAAAATTACAATTTTGCTTGACTTGCTTGGCTATATGGCTGCTGCGCTTCTTGCAGCCCCTTAGATAAGGGACTAGGGAAGACAAGGTCTCTGTGAAGGGTCTCATTGAAGACATCCCATGGAGCGTCATTTCTAGAATTTTTATTAGTAGTTTAGCTTAGATAGGCTATTTTCGAATGAGCAATTTTGATCAGATACCGATTCGCCCATTCCAATACCTCGACCACCGCACTTTGCAGCCTGTTGTGAACCAGATTTTTAGAACACGACTGGGCAGCAGGGGCAAGAGACGTCATCAATACAGAGTGAGGTCCAAGAACTGAACCTTGAGAGTGAATTGTTCGTATCATTTGATTTTATTCCTTTGGGGTATGTAGCGAAACATCCTGTGAAAGATGTAAGATACTAATTGATCTGACAGAAACAGATGACCCACTTAATAGATCATGTCCAAATTTAGTGATGACAAAATTTCAGGATATGGGATAAAAGTGTTCTGAAGCGCTCAGAAGATGGTGATGTCTAAATTCTTCGTGAGGAATGATTTCTCTCTTCGCAGCGTTTGCAAGTAAGTGATGCGTTATGGCGTGTTTATCACCGTCTAATTTTATTTCTACTTGTAGGAGAATGGTTTTATTCTGGAGGCGCTCACCCTCACAGTACGTAGATAGCCATTTTCTTAATAGTATGTGGTATTGCCCCTGCAAAACCGGCATTATTGATATACAGGGTGACCAACTAAGAATGCGAGGTACTAAATCTCGGAACCTGTTCTTGCACCAAAAACAGTTATAACGGAAACGGCCAAGAGAAAAACATGGAAAATAATTTAAAAATTATGGAATGGCCGCAAGGGGCGCGTAACTGTAATCTTGAATCTATAAAAGTGATGTTTCTGTGAATTCCGCTAGGGCTTTACGGCCACAATTCAATAACAAAAGGAAGTTCCAGAAAAATTAGTTTAAAAGGAATTTGTGTATGAAACCTTCTTTGGCCTAAATTTTATGTTAGAAACAAGATATCGAGATGCGGTTCTCGCATGAAAAAGATGACACCGATCCATTTGATTTTTTTGAGAAAATGAACAATTTCTTTCGGAGCGTCGAAGAGAGCCCTCTAGCGGCCACACGTGAAACCAACAAAACTTCAAATACTGTAGCATTTGTAGCCCAAGAATAGTTTTTTCAAATAGCCCAATTTTGTTAAAATTAGCTCAGCCGTATCGAAGATCCAGGGTGTTTTTTACGGAAACCTTTGAATAGCCCCACCACTTTATTTTTAGAGATACAGCAAAAATTGTTAAACAAAAAATGTTCCAATTATCCTCGACTTTATAGATCAGGCATTTTTTTGTTATGTTAATACAGTGGAATTCACAGAAACATAATTTTTTTAGATTCAAGATAGCAGTTCAGAAACTTGAAACTATTTTCCAGGTTTTTCTCTTGGCCGTTTTAGCAAGAGCATTTTTTGCCGCAAGCCTCTACGATGGATAGGTTCCCAGATATTTTAACTCAGGTCACATATGAGGAACTTAGGAAATACTGTTCTTTTTATCTACTTGTCCTATTTAGACCTTTTAAGTGTTGAAATTGTATTATACAGTGTGGCGCATCGAAAACGAAACAGACGCATTTACTGACAGCTCAGTTTTTTTTGGAGAAACGCTCAGACCCATCGATTTTGTTTTCGAGGGGGACACAAGTCTGGCAAAAAATCACGTTAACACGTGCAGCCCCCTGGCCGGGGGTGACACAACCCTAAAATCTTAAATGGAAAGGGGGTCGAGTGATACCTTATTTTAAAGGTCTTTCAATTCCTTCTATAATGATGCAAAATACATGAGCTTCAGTTCAGTAGTTTTGAAGATTTATTGATTTAAAGTTTAAAGTAGAATTTAATAGGTACATCAGATTAGTTTGTACTACTTTCAGAAGAAATTTGACTAAAAGAATTTACTTAATAAGTAAATGCTTTTCTCCACTACGCCCATGGTTTGTTTATTATTTTGTTGTTGAAAATAGCTATTGGGCCGTTTTTTGTGGCAAAAAAGTTATTTCTTGAAGAAAGATAAGGAAATATCTCGTAATTATTTTACATAGTTTGCGATTGATTTTACCAAACTTTGTTGCTAAATTAACTTGTAACGCTTTATTACATAAATTAACCATTATTCCACAGCAGAAAGAGTTGAAATTATCGAAATATCTTTCGGAAATAATAAGTGCGCTAATAGAACAGCAAAAATTCTTAATCAGCGACATGAGAACAGTAACGTGCATCGAAAATATGTTCTAGAACTTGTAGCTAAATTTCGGGAAACTGGGTCAGTCGCCAATAAAAAACGCAACATTGAAAATCCCATAAGGAACGAAGCAATAGAAGTGGGGGCTTTAGAGCAAGTTTATGTAGATTCTACGTTAAGTACCCGCAAATTGGAGACTGTGTGTGGTATTAGTCGACGTACTGTCCAACGGATTCTAAAGGTCCATAGTTTTCATCCGTATAAAATTCACCTGGTACAAGAACGAATTATAAACGATGAACATTTTCTATTCAACATTTGCTTTTCCGACGAATGATCCTTTTTCTTGAATGGCGTAGTAAATCGTCATAACTGCCGATATTGGTCCGATTCTAATCCCAGAATTTATCATGAGGTTCATACACAGCAGCCACAAAAATTAAATGTCTGGGCTGGTACTTTTCCTGATCATTTAGTTGGTCCTTTTTTCTTACCTGGAAATTTGACCGGTGAAATGTATTTGGAATTACTGGAAGACGCCATAGATCCTGCATTAACACCCATAATTGAAAATCAGAATGATCGGCGGTACATTGCGAATAGGTTGATGTTCCAACAGGATGGTGCCCCACCCCACATTACGCATTACGTGTTCGACAATATTTAGATCAGACGTTTCCAGATCGATGGATTGGTAGAAGAGGTGTCATTGAATGGCCCCCAAGATCGCCATATTTATCACCTTTGGATTTCTTTATGTGGGGTCATTTAAAAAGCAAAATCTATGCTACTCAGCCAACATCATTAGATGACCTGCGACAAAGAATTGTGAATGAGTGAGCTGCCAGTAAATGCGTCTGTTTCGATTTCGATGCGCCACCCTGTATAATTAATACTATATTGGCTATTTTGTGCAAAAAACGCAACATTTCAATCTCTCCTTTGTCACCTCTACTAGAAAATAAACGCCTTGTTTTCAAATGAACTCGTCAGAAATAAATTTCGTCAGAATTTGCATCCATAGTAACCGTAGACAAAATAAACCAGACCGCCAGTGCTCCGAACCAGGTAGAATCCCAAGGCCAAGGTCAGCAGATGTCAATGAATATCAGACTGGATGGAATGGCGGCGAGGCGGATGGAACTAGTTTTGATAAATTGTAAATTCTTTTAAATTATATAGTTCCCCAAGCCGTGTTTTTCCTATTTGCATTCCCCAATACAAATTTGTCTGTATATCCGTTGCATTATGTATCGAGGCCGCAGCATCTGAATTGCACACGATGCGCTATTAGAAACGTGTCGTCTATTAAAAACGTGTTACCTGCATCGTTATTTATTCAAATTCAAAGTATTTATTCCGTCACGAATAAATATTACAAGCACAGGATATTCTACAATATCGAATAATGACAAAAAAGGACAGTCTCTCGATTATGCAACCGATCCCTGGAACCGTTTAATACAAAGCGAGAAAGCACTGAATACCCTAAAAATCCTTAATCCCATCTAACTAATTAAAATCTTAAAATATAATAAGGGACATATAAATCCGAACACCCACTTTAAATGGGTTTATTTTAATAAAATTTTGTATAAGTACTTAATGAAGCATAATAAGTAAATGATAAAAATTTCAAAATGATTGCACTGCTTTAAAGCCCTTTGACCTTTAATAATGTGTGGATGCACCCTGATGTGCTACGCATTCTTCAACGCGCCGGGGCATGCTTCTGATCAGGTGGTCAATGTCCTCCTGTGGTATCTCATTCCAGGCAACCAGCAACTCCTCTCGAAGTGCTTCTAGAGTCTGAGGAGAACGTTGCAAATTGAGCAATCTCCTACCCATCATATCCCACAGGTGCTCAATTGGGGATAAGTCGGGAGATCTTGGTGGCCATGGTAACAATGTGACATCATTATGTAGAAAGAAGTCTATTGTGACTCTTGCAACATGTGGTCGGGCATTATCTTGTTGGAAAGTTGGATCTGCCAGGGTGTCAAGATAGGGCAAAAGATGGGGTTCTAGAACTTCGTTCATATAACGCTGCGCGTTTATGTTACCTCTGATGAAGATTAAAGGTGACATGGAACCATAAGCTATAGCACCGCAAACCATAACTCCATCAGTGTGATGAACATGTCTTTCAACAAAAAACTGTGGATTCCTCCTTTCACCACGTCCCCTTCTAACCCTGGCACGACCATCGTGCATGCCTAAACAAAATCGAGACTCGTCACTAAAGACAATACTGTTCCATTCCTGATCCCAGAGTGACCGTTGTCTGCACCACTCAAGGCGATTACGTCGGTGTTCTCGAGTTAAAGGGAGGACCCAGTGTGGCCGGTATGAAAACAAGCCAAAACTTCTCATTCGTCGGTAAACACTTCGCATGCCAATAGGTCTTCCGTGTTCTGCAACCCATTCATTTGCAATGGACCTGGTAGTGGAGAAACGGTCCCTTAAGGACAATAATCTTAGGCGGCGATCTTCACGGTCTGTTGTTCTACGGCGGCGTCCAGTGCCCCTTGCTCTTTGCGTACGGCCTTCTCGAAGCCATGCCTGACAACACCTAACCACAGTGTCTACACTTCTTTGCACTCTAACTGCAATTGCCCGAAAAGAAAGTCCAGCTTCCCGAAGTCCCACTATACGGCCCCTGTCAAACTCACTAAGTTGACGAAATCGTACAGGTCTCCGTACTCTAGACATCGTAACCGATCGTAAAGGATGTCAAGAACCAAAATCCGCCAACGTTGATTCTTTACTGCGGCTGAAATATTCATTTTTAGAGCGTTAGTGAATTAAAAAAAAGCAGTATAAAAACCGGAATGTCCAACTGATAAGGCTGAAAATCTTTTCACTTGTTATTTACAGTAAGATAAATACATTCAGCAACTTTTATTAAAATAAAACCATTTAAACTGGGTGTTCGGATTTATATGTCGCTTAGTATAATATAACCGGAGAAAAATACACTTAGGAGGTGATAAAAAAAATTACGATATCGGGCAAATATTTGCGTGGAGAAACTAACGTGCCCGTAATAAGTCGCAGTGGCGAAGCGTCCATGTAACCATTGTTACCATTGGTAACAGTTTAAAATCTTAAAAATAAATATTTTGTGACTAAGTAGTGTGAAATAATTTCAAATTAGCCCCATGAAAATAATGCGCCCTATAGTGTCTAGGTTTTGCGAAAACGATGAAGCTGACTCGCCTCGACTTGGTTGTGGGTTCAGTTGTTACCATTTTCATTTTTGGATACACTTGGTAGTCCGTCGGGGACCGTCGGGACCGGCTCGTGTCTGATCGCGGTCGCCTGAGTGCCTGGAGCGCAGAAACATGGATGAGCGTCGCTGCGTAATCGATCAACTACTTGAAAAGTCATTCTTCTTGTATAATTTTTAAGAAAAAAAAGGATATCATTGAAAAAAACGTACTATGATATTTTAAATTAAGTTGGTATTTGGAAACTCTTGGTTATGTGGTTGCAAAAAAAAACAGATGGTATTGTTGGCGATGTCTTCTGTTTTATACAGAAAAAAATGGCTGGACCAGCAGCGGAGTCAACGATTGAAATAGTTTTAGAGCTCTAAAGAAGAGACATGAAATTTCTCCTTTACATGTGAGATGAGTAGCTAATTTAATTCAGTTTGGCAAATCAAGAATCGAAAGTTGTCTTAACCAAGCTTCTAGGCAGCACACTTCTAGATACCGTATGTTTTTTGGCAAAACAGGGATTACCGTTCATTTTGAAGGGGATGACTCTGACAATAGAAGAAATTACAGGGAATTGTTAACATTCATTGCCAAAAAGATCAAAAATTTTCCGAACATCTAGAAACGTCGACTGTTTTTTCGGACGGCTTGGATTAGTAATAGCATAAGACGATTAGGTATATCAAGTGCCCCAGACGCTCAGTCCAGGAATGTTTACATTAATTTGAATATAGTTTAAATAAAATACCTAAAATAAGCAATTGCAAGGTTCAAAATAAACTTTTTTAATAAGATTTTTCACATCTGGTTTTGGTAACAGTCTAGGAAAGGTCACGCGTCGCGACTGATAAGACGGCCTGTTAAAACGCAATGAATCAAACAAAAAATGCCAGGATGAGTTCCAGAAGCTCGCAGAGCTTTTGTCGAAAAAATCCTCCCACGTTATCTGGTAGCCTAAACGTGATGACGAGAGCAAAATTAATATCTCTTTCCGGACTGCGAAGGTAATTACCACTTTTTGTTCTCGTCCAAAATTAGGGATTATGCAACAGCATTGGAAGCACGTCCACAGGAGGAGCGTAACGTTGGAAAAGGGCTGACGGACAGAGAAGAAGTCTTTTTACCGATGAGAAAGGCGATTCGGATGGAAGGCAAAGTGGCCCTAATTATGGGAGGGACAAACGAAATTGGCGTGCTTTGTGTGAGGGAGATGCTCACGGCTGGAGTTGGGGTAAGGGTGGAGTTGGTCCCTAGAGAAGATGATTTGCTTTCTGCACAAGTGTCGTCAGTCCAGGACTTTAGAAATGTTATACACAGAGAAAATGATTTCTACAACTTGTTTAAACGTTATGATAGTCATTATTTAAACGGGTGATAGAGGGCGTTAAAAGAAGCAAAAAGTTTCGGTCACCAGCTCTAATTACTCAGTACATTTCTGAGGTACTGGACGGTCAGGGACAAGTTGATGTCATCTACACAGATATTCAGAAGGCGTTTGATCAAGTTGATCATTATGCACTTCTGGATAAGCTTAAAACAGTGGGTATGTCTGATGCAATGTTGTCGCTCATGAATTCATATTTGAGGGATAGAAGGTTATTTGTCGAATATGGTGGTCACAGGTCGAGTTACTATCGGGCCACGTCCGGTGTATCTCAAGGGTCAAATCTAGGTCCATTATTGTTTTTGATATTTACTACTGACTTGTCTTTTGAACTGAAGTGTTTCCATTTGTTTTTCGCTGATGACCTTAAAATTTGCACGTCAGTCAAGACAGTCGAGGATTGCGTCATGTTGCAAGATGACTTAGCTCTAATTACGTCATGGTGTTCACCAAACTGTCTGAGATTGAATGTTTCGAAATGTAAAGTTATGACTTATACAAGAAAGGTTAACTATTTAATTTATGATAACACTGATCAACAGCCAAAAAACATCCTAAATAAAATCAACAAAATATTACTATTTTTAATGTGCTAAAACCGGAATGAAACTTATTTTTTCAATATTAGTTCAAGTTTTAGAGATAGGGTAATTATATGTGTTCCTGCTGTGACAGTGTTAATATACTGTAATTCACAAGAATGCACGTGCTACATTTTTATATTCGGCAACGAAAGATGATGTAATCGGCATGATTGTGTTACGTTATACATACGTGTACATTATATTGTTTTATATTAGCCATTCTTTCCTCAGTTGGCTGACAGCGTTCATGCAAGATGTCTCGAAAGTGTGTAAACAATCCAGATAAGTTTTGTTACGTGTGTGGTGATGTGACTTTTGCGTCTCATAGACGATCTATTACTTCACTAATAACAAAGGCATATCAGCTTTATTTCGGTTGTAAACTAGGTGATCAAGACAAACAGTGGGCATCCCACATCTGCTGTAATACATGTGCTTCAAGTCTGAGGAGCTGGTTAAATGGCAAAAAATGGTCTATGCGCTTTGCTGTCCCAATGGTTTGGAGAGAGCCTACAAATCATATTAATGATTGTTACTTTTGCATGGTACCTTGTGTTGGACAAGCCACAGGTATGTCCAAGAAAGAAAAATCGGTTATTAACTACCCAAACATACCATCTGCGATGAGACCTGTGCCTCACAGTGACGAAAATCCTATTCCAAAAACCCCAGAATCCTACACTTGCGAATCAGAAAACGAATCAGATCATGGCGATCGAGTGATTCGTCAGGAAGAAGATATGCCATCAACGTCAAGAGATCCTGATTTTATACCGAGCACGTCATGCCACCAACCGCACAAAATAACACAGTCAGAATTAAATGATCTTGTAAGAGATTTAGAACTTCCAAAATGTAAGGCAAAGGTACTTGGATCAAGACTGCAGCAGTGGCACTTGTTAGAAGACGATGTTTCGGTATGTGTTTTTCGTAAACGCCACAAAGACTTAGAACCATTTTTCAATATGGAGAATAACTTGGTTTTCTGCAGTAACATTAACGGCTTACTGGCGGCTTTAAATATAAACTATAACCCAGAAGAATTGAGATTGTTTATAGACAGTTCAACATTGAGTTTAAAGGCAGTGTTATTGCATATTGGAAATATTTTACCATCGCTTCCTGTAGGGTATGCAGTTCACATGAAAGAATCATATGACAATATGAAGTACCTATTGACATGCATAAAATACGATGAGCACCAATGGCATATTTGTGGCGATTTGAAAGTTGTTGCACTTTTACTTGGGCTGCAGCTAGGCTACACAAAACTGGCCTGTTCGTCAATTCCTAGAGCCAGGTCAAAAAAATGTACAGCATGTGCCATTAGTAGATTCGAAAAAAATTTTATTACCACCACTGCATATCAAGTTGGGCCAAATGAAAAACTTTGTCAAGGCATTAGATAGAGATGGGACAGCTTTTCAATACCTGCGTCAGAAATTTCCAAGACTAAGTGAGGCAAAGGTTAAAGAAGGGATTTTTGTTGGGCCACAGATTCGAAATATTTTGAAAGACGCACAGTTTGAAAACACTTTAACAGGTATTGAAAAAACTGCTTGGAATGATTTCCGTCTGGTGGTCACTAATTTCTTGGGAAATAGAAAAGCTGACAACTATAAAACCCTTGTCAAAAATATGCTGTCATCGTATCAAAAGATGGGCTGTAATATGTCTCTTACGATACATTTCCTACACTCACACCTGGACTTTTTTCCTGACAATTGCGGAGCCGTAAGTGATGAGCACGGCGAACGTTTTCATCAGGATATTTCAACAATGGAAAAAAGGTACCAGGGAAAGTGGAATCCTTCCATGCTTGCAGACTACTGTTGGACTCTTGGTAGAGATGTTCCAGAAACGATCCAGAAAAGAACAGCAAAAGACAGCGCATATAGTGATTCTTATAAGTATATGAATCTTGTTACTTTTTTTAATACATCCTTAAAAATAAAAAGTTTTTTTTCTAAACCACAACTAATTTTTTTATTTCATTATCATTTTTGGATTCAGCGCCCCAAAATTAACAAAGAAGTGCACTGTTCCCACAAGATACAATTAAAAAACTAAAATTTGTTGTCCAGTGTAATTATAACATCAATGGTCAGGTTATAGACGGATGCGCCTCTTATAGAGACCTTGGAGTCACTTTTGATAGCAAGCTAACGTTTACTGAGCATATACTCAATACCTGGTCGGCTGCCACTCGACTACTTGGTTTCTGTATCAGAAACTGGAAGAGTTTCTCCAATGTTGATACATTAATGATTTTATTTTTTACTTTTGTCAGGAGCAAGTTGGAGTATGCGACTCTGATCTGGTCTCCTATATACCAAAATTCTGTCGTGATCCTTGAGGCCATTCAACGTAAAGCTTTAATGTATTTTCACCTTAAATGCACAGGTTCTTATCCAGAAAGAGGTTGTGACCATAGTGCCCTATTAGAATTTTTCAATTTGGATTCACTGTCATTCATTCACAATATTATTGACTGTCAAAATTTACTTGAACAAATATGTTTCCGCGTTCCAAGGCTAGGGAGTCGACAACAAACGGCATTCTATTGTCAAGCTGGCCGTACAAATGTTATGACAAAATCGCCAATTAATCACATGTGCTGCGTCATGAACAGTGTTACTGAATCGTGTGATATTTACAGTGACAGTTGTGCATCGATTATTAACTGCTATAGATCATCCAATTTTATTTAGAATGTGTGATACTATAGATTTAAGTCCAAGAACCATGTCTCTCTAATTGTTATTTTTTATAAATAGGGAACACAATTTTGATACATACATTGATTTTCTTTTTAAAACCTACACTGCACTTTTTTTGTATTTAAAGAAGTTGTTCAATATGTCTTCCTCCACTTTCCACACAAGCTTCATTACGACGAACCCAGTTTCTTCTTACTCTAGATCCTGGAAGTTGTCCATTTATTAATTCAGCCGCATTAATATTTTTTTCGCGAAGTTGTGGTTCAGTTGTTATTGGACCAGCCCCATAAACCATCCCTTTAAGTTCTCCCCAATACCAGAAATCCATCGGATTGAGGTCAGGAGACCTTGGTGGCCATTTTCGAGGATCAGGAGGATTTCAACTGATCCAGCGATTTGGATAATGTTCATTCAAATACTAAATGATGCCTCTAAAAATGTGTGGTGCTGCCCCGTCATGAAAAAAATACAAATTCCGTCTCCGTTGTAATGGCATGTTGTCTAAGGTCTGTTCCAAAAGTTCTGGTAGGTTATTGGTTAGAAAGCTAAGGTATCCTTCTCCTGGGGGTAACTCGAAAGGGCCAATTACCTGCTCGTGGCCCCACACGCTAACTCAAGCTACAGAAAATCGTCAAGAAGGTCTAGAGGAAGTTCCAGACAACAGAGACATGTAGCAGAAAAAGTTGTGAGGTTTCCTAAGAAGAAGCAGCCTGCTATTAAGCAACCCGAGAACTACGAAAGTACTGATTTTGTGTTATTTGGCAAGGCTGAGGAGACTGTTCGGCTCCGCGGATCATCCGCCACCTGGGAACAGAGAGAACAGTGCTGTAAAGATACGGAACGAAAACAGCGGCAATGTCGGAAGGCAAGACGGACCACACTCTATCAATCTAAACAGGTACACAGCAAGGCATTCCTCTCCCCGACCGCGTGACAATCTTACCGAAGAGATGAAAGAGCAGGCATTCAGCATCGTAAACGCGGCTATAGAATATCTATACGCCAACAACTTGATCGGCAGAAACGGCAACTGCTTCTCTCTAGAAGGAAGTAAAAGCTGCAAGAACCTTCCCGTCAATTGTTCAATGCCTGACAGCAGATACGGATGCAGGCAGTGCGCCAGTAGCATGAACAACAACCATGTTGAGGTGTTGAAACTACCAGCTGGTATGCTAAAAAAAAAGGGAGAGTGTGTCAGGGTAACCCGGGCTATGGCTGATGGCAGTAAGAGCCCAACAAGCAGAGTTCCAGGAATATGCCCACAAGAACATCATCGTGTATAAATCCAGTAATTACCAAAATCGGTAGAGTGAGCAAGGCATGTCGCTGCAGTAGGTGCCGTTATCAAGCTATGCCTCCAATTAAGGATCATCGTCACTTGAGAAGACTTCCCACACGTTTGTGATCATCATGTGTGAAATACGTGATTGTTTTGGGATGAAATAAAAATACCTGTATGTCCTTATTATCCGCACAAATATTTATTTTAAAACGTTGTTGGAAATGACCTTCACGAATGGTATGAGGATTTTCTTGGGCCCACAATAACCACTGTTACCGTTTGCGATCGATTGCCGGTTCGATAAGAGTGATGAAAGATCGACGCGCTGTTGTCATGTGTGTTTTAAATATTTAATTTAATAAAACTTACTTTCTTACTGACTACAAATTTTGGCCTAACTTAGAAAAACTTAATGCCATCTATTTGTTAATTACCCAATTTAAAAACGTTTTAGATTAGATTATATAAAATTAATAAGATTGTGGTGATTGTGGTCCATATAAAATACTTAAAGTTGTAAACTATAAAGCCATTTAGACAAAAATCAATTGACTTTTGGACTTGTTTTGACCCTATTACCCATTTTAATAATGACTACAATAACGTTTACATCCTGTATATTACCTACAAAAACATCATTGGTTGATCATTCTGTGCTGAGAGTTACGTGTTTGGCTAATTCTTTTTGCAGGAGGCGTCGCTAAACGATTCGTACGTTCAAAGTTTTTCTTGCTAAGTGAGGTAAGAAGTAAAATTCTCTTGGTTTGCATGATTCCAAGTCTTTGTAGCCGCTTTGAATTTTAAGGGCTTTTGGGACAATAAGATCCTAAGACACATTTTGTCATCCATAACACGAAGTAACTTGAGTTAAGCTCCCGCGTGAGATTTAATTTAATTTGCTATTTAAATGAGATAAGTCTAATATTATTTTTCTATAACTCTGAAGGTATCAGAAACTGACTTATTCCACTTCGTGATATTGAAGAGCGACCTTTTTTGAGTAATAAAACAGACTTAAACTCAATTTTCGTATTTTCTGAGAAACGCCACTTCGTGTTATTGTCGACGAAGTTTCATCAGTCCAGGACTTTAAAATTGTTATACCCAGAAAAAATAATTTCTGCAACTTGTTTTTTGGCAATATAATGACTACATTCATAGCATGATGTGGCAACAATGTGAACGTTTTATCTGTGTTTTTGTTTACCTTTATTAAAATGTGAAGAAATCAGTTTCGGACAGCTGAGTAGTATTTTGCGTTATTGCCTTTTCGTTTACTACTCCTTATGAAATACAGATTTGCTAGTATGCTACTAATACAATATCGCAGACGAAAATGTATATACTGCTTCTGGTTCCGTAGTTATGATAATGACTATTTAATTCTGTGGAATTTTCTAACTGTGGTGGAAATTATTTTTTAATTTGAATATACAAATGAGAACTAAATAACGTTTAATATTTTTCACAATCAACCACTACACAGGGTGGCGCATCGAAGACGAAACAGGCGCATTTACTGGCAGCTTAATTTTTTTTGGAAAAATACATAACAGCCTCCTAAGCGGGGTTGACACCTCCCCCAAAATCTTAAACGGAAAGGGGGGTCGAGTGATACCTTATTTTAAAGGTCTTTCAATTCCCTTTATAATGAAATAAAATTAATGTACATCAGTTCAGTAGTTTTGAAGATTTATTGATTTCAAGCTTAAAGTATACTTTAATAGGTAATCAGATTAGTTTGTACTGAACTGAAGCTCATGTATTTTACATCATTATAAAGGGAATTTAAAGACCTTTAAAATAAGGTATCATTCGACCCCCCTTTCAATTTAAGGTTTTAGGGTTGGTGTCACCCCCGCCCAGGGGGCTGCACGTGTTTACGTGATTTTTTGCCAAAACTTGTGTCCCCCTCGAAAACAAAATCGACGGGTTTGAGCGTGTTTCCAAAAAAAAAACTGAGCTGAAAGTAAATGCGTCTGTTTCGTTTTCGATGCGCCACCCTGTATATAGGAATAAGCATAAACGATTACGTTTTGACTTGAATTGAATTACTTTCATAGATATAAGTAAACTGTTTTAGAAATCGGAGCTTAATTAAACGAAGTAAACCTGTTATCTGTTACATGATTGATTCTTTTAATATGGGTAATTAAAATTGTAATTGGCTTTGTTAATTTTTTTCTCATAGCACTTTGTGCTGACAGAGTGATGTCTTTTCTAGGGACTTGCGACGTTTAGTAGGTACATTTAACTTTTCTGACATCCAAATAAGTCTGTAATGATTGCAGATGAAGACGAAGAATCCGGCAAGAATCTGGTTGTTAAATTGAGCGCCGAGTATGGACCTGAAAAAACTGCATTCATACGAACTAACTTTGCATGCGACAATCTCTTGAATAGTGAGTTTTTACTACTATTTCTCTAATTTGAATTATGATGGTGCATTTATAAAGTCACCTCATATTTAACCGCACTTAGATCTTGCTTAACCTTATTTTCATGAATTCACACATGTGATACCAGGGACTTCGCACCTGGATAACAAATAATAATGTTGTCAATTTACAGATGCATTCGAAAAAACTTTGGAGCATTTCCAAAAAATTGACGTATTAGTGAATATTGCAAATTCAGTGGGACATCGCAACTGGGAAACTGAAATTGACAAAAACGTGGTAAGTTAGGTACACCTATGTATACTGCTTCCCCTTAAATATTTATGTTTAATTAGGAAACACCTTGAATACTCAACAATTTGGATTCGGATCAATGTATAGTTACGAAAAATATTTAATAATTTAATTTACATTTAACCAATTTATTGCGTTTTCCATGTCATTATTTAACAGCTCTATTGCAGTTTCAATATCTTTATTTGTTATATATATATATATATATGTATATATATATATATACAACCATAAATATAATCTGTGTTTTGGCCGATTCCACCAACAAATTTCATTCCACTCAAAATCTAATAATTCTCTTCTCACGATTTATTAATAACTGTTAATTTAAAATTCCCATTAATTAAAATATAGTCTATTCAACTGCCTCTGGTCGATTTAACAATTTCTTACATAACACTCTGAAAATCACATCATCTGAAGTGATTTGGCAACGTTTTGGCACACGCCCACAATTCGTTCCATCTTTCAACACAGACATTGACAACCTTCGGCCTTCTGTCAAAGGTTCATCTCACCCATTATTCCATGACCACCATTTTGTGCAATCATCAAGTGGCTTCACGACGTAATGCTCTAATGTTTTCTAAATAATTTTTAATCTGTCTTTAACTTGTCTTGTCATATTTTATATAATTTTAACCATTGTACCATGTATCCAGCTCTCACCATGTTACTGGACGTTTCCCTCATCCTATACGAAAACAACAATTAGCAACATCCTCACATACTACTGTAAGTTGATTCAATTTAAATTAATTTTACACTTTTGTTGCTACTGTTATCATTGTAATTGCAGCTCCTGATGATGATGGCAAAGTCCATTGAAAGCTAGAGAGAATTAAGAAAATATAAAGAGTCCTCTTTGCTTAAATTTTGTCGAAGTACCCAACAAAAGACGGAAGCTTTAATTTTTCACCTAACTGGTTTAGACGACAATGACCACGTCTCAAGTTATATATATATATATATATATATATATATATATATATATACAGGGTGACTTTGAAGTTGAGTCATTAATTTTCAGATAATGATTGTAGAAGGAAGATAAACCAAAATATGTGTGTAAAAAAAAATTTAAAAAAAAATGTTACCTTGTTTTATAAAGTATCCTCCCGACAAGTATTTCAGTGCGGACCTGTATTTGATCGTGAGGTCTTGGAGCACCGGCATGCCGTCACCTGATTCACGAGCCCGTTGTACTACATTAACAAAGGCACGAGGGGTTGGTTGCACTCGATTGGGAAACCGATCTGCATAAACATGTGCCATTTTTTATTTCGTTTGAGCCACGCAACAGACACCACTATTCACTGACACTGACTGTATACAAATGAATAAAATAATTGTAAAAACATCGTTCCAAATTCTTTCGCTTTTTTGTTTCCGATGCGAATAACCGATACGGCGGATTATATCCGTTGTCGCCAAACACGAGCACATAATATTATTATTGAGGCAGGGCGGTACTCAAACATCCAAAGGGCTATAACTTTGTTACTTTAATTTTACCAGAAAAATGGCAAAGGAAAAAAACATTTCTTTTGATCAGATCTACTCACTGTTAAAATAAATGACTCAACTTCGAAGTCACCTTGTATATATATATATATATATAAGTAAGGAGCATACTGATACATATGGTTCAAAACAAATGTGGTTGCTTTGAGACAACAAATCATCTACCATATATGAAAAAACTAAAAGTCCCTAGACCCGGACTATCTCCGTAGGTCGAGAAGGGTCGATTTTGACTATGCTATTATAAAAAATGAGCGACAACCAATTTGGATTTCAAAGTCAAAAAAGTATACTAAATACTATTTTCATATTACTCCAACGGTTTAACGATAAACAAATTTCACTAGCTTTTTTCTGCGGCTTTTGACTGTATAAATTATGATATACTATTAAAAAAAATAAACGCATATGGTTGTATTGGGACTCAATTGATATAAAACATATCCGAATAATCGATCATAAATAGTATGGATCAGTATTAGAAACTTAAACACAAATGATAAATTCGTATAACAATTACTTGACTTATAATTACGTATTAATAAGACAAAATTTATGACACAAATGCTCCCTTAAATTTATAAATTTAAAAAATCAATTGATCAAACATACACTATCAAATTCTTGGGACTGGCGTTTGACTATGAAATAGATTTTACTAATCACGAAGACAAATTGCTTATTCAACCAGCAAATATTTCCTTTATTATAAAAAAATGTAGTTAAAACGTAGGGAAAAACACAAGTTCGTTTGACCTATTTGAAAGTAACATTCTCTTTTTGGGGTGTCTGTTCCCAAAATTGTTTAAAAAAAGATGCTTATTCTACAAAAACGAACTATCAGATATATAACTAAAGCAATCCTGCCTACAAGAAGACCGTTAGCCATGAATCTCAAAAAACTATTGTTCATTTTAGAAACAGCAACTTCTTTTTTTACATAAATCTAAAATTGAAATATTAAATATAAGTTATAATATTAGACAAAAACATATTAAATTAATTGTACCAAAAACAGCATTTCTGAAAGACTCAATAATTTATAATGTTCTGAAAATTTACATCTGTCTTCCAGATGCTATCAATGAACAATTTAAAGATATTCCGCCGTGAACTGAGAAACTTTTTAAAACGCAAACCATATATGTGAGTTCTACAGTACATCCACTTAAGTAATTATATTATAATTTAGTTTTAAGCTTGCTTTGTCATTAAGAATGATTGATTTCTTCATACAATAAAGCGTGTTTATCTATCTATTTTCAGAAAGGTATAGTCAAGAGTACATTGTTAGGCTACAAATACATGGACGCGTCGAACGGCGGAGACGGCGGCTCTGTTCTGAACATGGTTTGTGATAGAGAGCGCACACTAGCGACACCTTATTTCGAGGGATGTAGACACTATCTTGTCGCCTTCGGAAAAACTATGTCCCAACAAAATCATATAAACACAGGTGTCAAGATCGTCACATTGTTCGTTAATGTGGACGATGTGTATAATCAGAACGACGGTTGCTTGGAAAAAGGTAGGTGAGTAATTTTGTTTGTTTTAGATTTATTTAGCATTAATTCTACAATGTCCATAATATACTTATTACACAGTATATCACAAAATATATTATGTCCTCAAGACTACATATTTTTATACAAAATTTCACTACTATGAATTCTGGTTTACCGCGACATACTTTTTCAATTTCCCCTTGAACGTTTTCAAACTGACACACATCTTGATAACATTACTTAATTTATTAAATTCGTACAATCCCTCTTGGAATACTGATTTGCTCGTTATATTGCTACTGAAGTTTTGTAAATGAAAGTCTATACTTTCTCTAGTAGAATAATTGTGGCACTCATTGTTCAATACATTAAAAGTTTCTAAATGATTTGGTAGAAGATGACTTTCTTTCAGCAAATGATAATTAAAATGATTCTCATAGCTTAATTTCGTAATACTTGTAACTTTGAAAATACAGTTTCATTTGTAGTGAACAAAATAGTCGAACAATATAATAAATGAGGAAATGACACGCAATTTTTTCATGATTAATTGTAAGATTTATCGTGTTTTGATCTAAAGATTTTCCTATTAGCATATATTTTGTTTTGTCTGTGTTTAGTTTAAGATAATTTACATTTAACCAATTTATTACGTTTTTTGTATCATTATTTAACAGCTCTATTGCAGTTTCAATGTCTTTATTTGATATATATATATACAGGGTGTCCGCAAAGTTGGGGTTTTCCTTTACACGACGTGTAGATCTTGAAAACATAAGCAATTTTTCTTAGTACCATATACACCAATGTCTTAAGGGAATCGAGATAACGGGCTCTGCAACATCAAAAATACCTGAATACCGTCCTGTAGCCGCGACCCGCGACATCACCGAGTGGTACAAGGTCACTGGCTCAACCCGACGACAGAACTGGGTCGGGGTCAGTGTGTCAGGTCAGTATGCAACCTTCAACCGACGGTTACGGTCACGCGTGTAGAGGTAAACGAACCCGTATAATCGATTGCGTTTCAAAAAACAACAAGCACTAGAGACGTGGCTATAGAAGTGCAAGTATCAAAAACTAAAGTGTGGCAAACGCTGCGTGAAGAGGGGCTGTATCCGTTTCACGTCCAACGTGTACAAGCCCTTCAACCTGAAGATTTTCCAGCAAGAGTGCGGTTTTGTGAGTGGTTGTTGCATCAACATGACAATAATCCGGACTTTTTGATGTTCATATTGGTGACAGACGAATATACGTTCACGCGTAATGGGGTGAATAAATTTCGCAACACTCATGTTTGGTCAGTAGAAAATCCGCACGCTGTCCGTCGGGCACATTTTCAACAAACATTTTCAGTGAATGTTTGGGCTGGCATGGTGAACGGTATGCTCATTGGACCATTTATTCTCCCAAATCGATTGGACGGGATGCAATACCTAGACTTTTTACGCAACTTTTTGCCTTCCTTGTTAGAAGATGTGCCATTAAGTGTAAGACAATCAATTTGGTTTCTGCACGATGGTGCACCGTCCCATTTTAGACGCGAAGTGCGTGAGTTTTTGAATGAATTATTTCCGAATATTTGGATCGGACGTAATGGACCCGTAGCGTGGCCTCCGCGATCTCCAGACTTAACACCATGTGATTTTTTTCTTTGGGGAGAAATGAAACGCTTAGTGTACAAAACTGAAGTGCATACGGTTGACGAACTTCGTCTCAGAATTGAACAAGTTGGTGCTTTCATTCGGGGGAGGGACTCCATTCTCAAAGCCTGCACCGATGCTTGGCTACGTCGTGCACGCACCTGTGTTTTTGAATCAAACGGCGGTAACTTCGAACAATACCTATAAAGTACGTTTACCTAAAAACTGAAAGCGCGGCAACGCCGTCTTATTTGTTACCTCTGTTCGTGGTCTGCACCACCGCCGGCGTCTGCTCGGTAGCGCATCAGCTGATTTCATTTTCTGTTGGAGCGGTATGATTTCGGGCAGAGACGTACTTAGCCCTTCTCGTCAACTGGAGAGTGAGTACTTTTTCCTTTATTTTTTTTACTTGGTCGCCCTCGTTTCACTACACATTACCTTTGTTATTTCAAGGGTAGTTGTTTCTGAAAAGGAAAACCCCAACTTTGCGGACACCCTGCATATATATATATATAGATATAACTTGAGACGTGGTCATTGTTGTCTAGACCAGTTAGGTGGATATATGTATATATACAGGGTGACTTTGAAGTTGAGTCATTAATTTTCAGATAATGATTGTAGAAGGAAGATAAACCAAAATATGTGTGTAAAAATAAAAAAAAATAAAAAAAAATTTTTACCTTGTTTTATAAAGTATCCTCCCGACAAGTATTTCAGTGCGGACCTGTATTTGATCGTGAGGTCCCCTGTGAGGTCTTAAGTCACCTGATTCACAAGCCCGTTGTACTACATTAACAAAGGCACGAGGGGTTGGTTGCACTCGATTGGGAAACCGATCCGCATAAACATGTGCCATTTTTTATTTCGTTTGAGCCACGCCACTATTCCACTGACACTAACTGTATACAAATGAATGAGATACCTGTAAAAACATCGTTCCAAATTCTTTCGCTTTTTTGTTTCCGATGCGATGAACCGATACGGCGGATTATATCCATTGTCGCCAAACACGACCACATAATATTGTTATTGAGACAGGGCGGTACTTAAACTTCCAAAGGGCTATAACTTTGTTACTTTAATTTTACCAGGAAAATGGTAAAGGAAAAAAACATTTCTTTTGATCAGATCTACTCACTGTTAAATGACTCAACTTCGAAGTCACCCTGTATATATATATATATTAATGTATCATCAGCAAATAGTTGATTGTTGCAGTGTTGTAAAATATCAGGAATATCGTTAATATATAAAATAAATAGTAATGGTTGTAATTATTTTCTTAAACGATCGTTTTGATCCCCATGTAACAGAATCAGAATCTTTATTAGTTCGGTAGATATAGAACATGTAAGAAAATAAAAAGCAACAGTAAAACTTGTAAAATAGTCGGCTCAAGAGCAAAACAAACAACATTAGACAAAAAACACGTATACAATAAATTAAATCCAAAATCACAGAATAAGACATTTACACAAGCATGAATAATTCACGTGAAAACATGAATTGAGGAAAAAGTGACTAAAGGAACACATCTTACAAAAAAGACGCTCTTCTTGGCCGCAAAAGCAATACTTGTTATGCAATTATTGTATCCAGTAAATTCTGTTTTAGCACAGTCTTTACCCTATTTTCAATTAATTCCGATGGCAACGTCTTCAGAGTGTCTGACAATATATTGACCAATTTTAAAGCTTTATTTTTTGTAGATGGCAGTCTGTGTGAAGGAATTTGGAGAACAAGCGAGTTTCTGGTTGAATATCTATTGTTATCATTCAACTTCGGAAAATCTGCCAAAATTGTTTACGCGTAGATCGGCTGCTCTAGGACATAAGTAGACGACATTTTTAATATTTTCAGCTGTCTAGAATATTTTCTGCAACTTCTTCTTCTATTTACACCCACAATTGACCTGACCTTTATTGACGACAGACAATTCTTACTAGGGATCCGATTTTGTTACCTATTTTTCAAATCAGGGATATGCTCGTTTTTTGGAAGTTGCTTTCTATAACAGTACCCGATTGCGATAGACCGAGTCTTATAAAATTTGGAGAGTATTGTGCCGTAATGTATTTTGGAAGTGACCAAACGCGATTCAAGAGGAATAAGATAATAAACTAAAACATTTTAGACCACCGCCAAACATTTTTTGGAGTCCCGATTTTGTCGTAAAGTCTTCAATAAAGCCCCATAGACGTCGTTTTCCTAATTTTACCAGCTTTCAGAATTCAATATATTTGTTAAGAGGCAAAACATATTGCCATCCAAACTGCCCAGGCACATTACGGCACTGTTATGATAATGTCATATGTAGATATGCTTAGGTTTGCACTTTTCATTTCCTTGTTCTAACCTTGGTTATAAATAGGAGGTACTTGTAAAAGAGTGTGACCTGTGACCAATAATCAATCGTCTTTAGTTAAATAAAGTCGCAAGGAAAGCGCTACACACTCTTATGAAGCCAGCATTTTTATTATTATTATTTTTCAGGAAGCTCTGTAATGACAGTATTAGCCTTTATGTAATAAAAACGTGTACAACCTATTATCGTCATTATCATAATTATCTTTTTGTAGGAAAAATGAATGCGACATTCCAAATCTAATACGCTTGGCAAGAACTGGATCCATTTGGACAACATAGAATATCTATCAATTTGAAGTGACTCCTATTCATGTTTTTAAACAACTGTGTCGGAACATACAGATGAACTGTCAATCTAACCTTATTTTTCCGTATAAATCCTATTTACATTTAGACATATTTATTTGTACTCGTAGCACGTATAAATAAACGTCAAAGAAATTGCACTGGAATTTTTAAATGTAAACTGATGAATCCAAAATACACGAACAGACATAAATCTGAACACCCAGTTTAAATGATTTTATTTTAATAAAAGTTGGTGAATGTATTTATGTTACTGTAAATAACAAGTGAAAAAATTTTCAGCCTTATCAGTTGGACATTCCGGTTTTTATACTGCTTTTTTTTAATTCACTGACGCTCTAAAAATGAATATTTCAGCCGCAGTAAAGAATCAACGTTGGCGGATTTTGGTTCTTGACATCCTTTACGATCGGTTACGATGCCTAGAGTACGGAGACCTGTACGATTTCGTCAACTTAGTGAGTTTGATGGGGGCCGTATAGTGGGACTTCGGGAAGCTGGACTTTCTTTTCGGGCAATTGCAGTTAGAGTGCAAAGAAGTGTAGACACTGTGGTTAGGAGTTGTCAGGCATGGCTTCGAGAAGGCCGTACGCAAAGAGCAAGGGGCACTGGACGCCGCCGTAAAACAACGGACCGTGAAGATCGCCGCCTAAGATTATTGGCCTTAAGGGACCGTTTCTCCACTACCAGGTCCATTGCAAATGAATGGTTTGCAGAACACGGAAGACCTATTGGCATGCGAAGTGTTTACCGACGAATAAGAAGTTTTGGCTTGTTTTCATACCGGCCACACGGGGTCCTCCCTTTAACTCGAGAACGCCGACGTAATCGTCTTGAGTGGTGCAGACAACGGTAACTCTGGGATGAGGAATGGAACAGTATTGTCTTTAGTGACGAGTCTCGATTTTGTTTAGGCATGCACGATGGTCGTGCCAGGGTTAAAAGGCGACGTGGTGAAAGAAGGAATCCAGGGTTTTTTGTTGAAAGACATGTTGATCACACTGTTGGAGTTATGGATTGGGGTGCTATAGCTTATGGTTCCAGGTCACCTTTAATCTTCATCAGAGGTAACATAAACGCACAGCGTTATATCCAGTAAGTTTTAGAACCCCATCTTTTACCCTGTCTTGACACCCTGGCAGATCCAACTTTCCAACAAGATAATGGCCGACCACATGTTGCAAGAGTCACAATAGACTTCTTTCAACATAATGATATCACATTGTTACCATGGCCACCAAGATCTCCCGACTTATCCCCAATTGAGCACATGTGGGATATGATGGGTAGGAGATTGCTCAATTTGCAACGTCCTCCTCAGACTTTAGAAGCACTTCGAGAGGAGTTGGTGGTTGCCTGGAATGAGATACCACAGGAGGACATTGACCACCTGATCAGAAGCATGCCTAGGCGCGTTGGAGAATGCGTAGCACATCAGAGTGCATACACACATTATTAAAGGTCAAAAGGCTTTAAAGCAGTGCAATCATTTTGAAACTTTTATCATTTACTTATTATTCTTCATTAAGTACTTATACAAAATTTTATTAAAATAAAACCATTTAAACTGGGTGTTCGGATTTATATGTCACTTAGTATAGACTAGTTGTTCTGAGTGTTTACCGATCTGTTGCAGGTCTATCTCAACCCCTGATCTGCTTGTTATCTCAAAGTTTCCTTTTTAAATGCTACAATGGGAGTTAAATCGTCCTTTAACTGCTAAATAGGTATCGATTCTTGATATTCTGAGGTATTTTCATCGAAACAAAGTTTGACTCAAACGATGACGTAAGTTTCGTGTACCTATAACATGCATCAAGAGTCTTACAAGAAATTGTATCATACAGGGTGGCCCAACGAAAACGTCGCACCCATGTTTGAAAAATTATAATCATGGATACTTCGTCTTCCATTGAAATTGTAAGTTACCTACCTAGTTGTGATAAACATTGAACAATGACTTATTCAATTCAGGAAAAGGTAGAAATAACAAAACTGTATTACCAAGATGGGAGCATTGCAAGGCTTTTTAGTGCGTTTTTGTTCGAATCTAGTCCTCACATTTCTAAGCATGTGGTCCTAATGTTTGGAGTTATTTGTGATATTGAATGGAATCTGGCTTTGTACTAAAAACTTTACTTCTCAAATGCTCCTTAAAAAAATAAAATAAAAAGTAATTTGTTTCTATTTAAAAATCTAAATTCTAACGCAATATTTTATTTTTGGATCACCACGATTCTAGATGAAACGACGTCCCCCTAGAAATCAAAATTGACATGTCTGAGCGTTTTTCCCAAAATATACCAGTATATTTTACTCATAGACAGTGAAAGATGGATAAATGTTAAGTGGTTAACACCTAGCTACCAAAGTGATTAATCTTTAATCGCATGTAAACATATTGCAGGTAAGGTTAATCGATTCTTGATCACCCGTGACATTATTAACACGTGGAAAACCTCAAGTTTGTGCTAGATCACTACATTATTTAGTTGCCGCTTACACTTTGCACTTACGATCGTGCGGGTTAGAGCAATAAACATATTACGGAGATGAGGTTGGTTTGCATATCGCTGCATCCTAGGACAGGGTCACGTTTTAGTTAATACGAATGGTACCAGGTAGTAATAAAATATGTATTTTTGAAAACAAGCTTTGAGTTAATTGCTAATTTACTTATTTATTTGACTATAGTTTCCCAACAGACTAATCCAATCAAAGGGCAATATAATGGTAACTCAAGTAATAGGTAGAAGCATTTGTTTACTTCATTATACTATACAGGGTGGCGCATCGAAAACGAAACAGACGCATTTACTGGCAGCTTAGTTTTTTTTTTTTGGGAAAACGCTCAGACCCGTCGTTTTTGTTTTTGAGTGGGACACCAGTTTGGCAAAAAATCATGTTAACACGTACAGGAAATTGAAGGACCTTTCAAATAAGGTATCACTCGACCACACTTTCCATTTAAGATTTTGGGGGTGGTGTCACCCCCGCTTAGGAGGGTGCACGTGCTAACGTGATTTTTTGCCAAAGTTGTGTCCCCCTCGAAAACAAAATCGACGGGTCTGAGCGTTTTTCCAAAAAAAAAACGAGCTGACAGTAAATGCGTCTGTTTCGTTTTCGATGCGCCACCCTGTATAACAGCAATAACAACATAGATTGGGTAAATAAATGTTTCAATCCACGGAAGGGCAATGCCTGTACGTGGATCAATTATATGTTGGAATGTGTTCCAAAATTAAAACAATAAAGTTAAAAGCAACTTAAAGAAAAATTTATATCAAAGAGGTGTTTATGAGGAGGATGATAATTTTTAAGGAATATTTTATAGGAATTCAATAATGCTGTCTTCCTTTTACGCGTATCCATCTCGATATATTCTTTTTAAGAGTTTAATAATAATAATAATAAATTGCTTTTATTGCTCATGTAAGTATAGAAAAAGGAAATTTACATAAATCTGATGCAGTGAGCAAACGGCAAGGTTCGCTTGATTGACAACCATTAGTTGTCAATCGGCGCTCTTCCACCTAACCAAAAAAAAAGTAGTATATCAGTAATAATAATAACAGCAACAGAAAAGTTAAACGTTAACACAGATACATAGAGACATATTATGTTTTAAAACTATATATTATATTATACATCCATAGATGACATATAACTGTTGCAGGTACCTTGGTAAAACCTATAATATAAAACGAGTTGATGCTTGAATGAGACTGCTAGAAGCTGTAGCTAATATCTTATGAAGGTAAAATGTGAAAGATCAAACGAAAAAGACATACAGAAGAATAATTGGCAAATCAGCGTGCAGTGTTAAATTTAAGTCATCTCAAGTCTCTACAATTCTCGCTTAGGCGAGGCTCAATTAAGGCATTATATATATATAGATATATATATATATATTTAGTGACATATAAGTCCGAACACCCAGTTTAAATGGTTTTATTTTAATAAAATTTTGTATAAGTACTTAATGAAGCATAATAAGTAAATGATAAAAATTTCAAAATGATTGCACTGCTTTAAAGCCCTTTCACCTTTAATAATGTGTGGATGCACCCTGATCTGCTACGCATTCTCCAACGCGCCTAGGCATGCTTCTGATCAGGGGGTCAATGTCCTCCTGTGGTATCTCATTCCAGGCAACCACCAACTCCTCTCGAAGTGCTTCTAGAGTCTGAGGAGGACGTTGCAAATTGAGCAATCTCCTACCCATCATATCCCACACGTGCTCAATTGGGAATAAGTCGGGAGATCTTGGTGGCCATGGTAACAATGAGACATCATTATGTTGAAAGAAGTCTATTGTGACTCTTGCAACATGTGGTCGGGCATTATCTCTTTGGAAAGTTGGATCTGCCAGGGTGTCAAGATAGGGTAAAAGATGGGGTTCTAGAACTTCGTGGATATAACGCTGCGCATTCATGTTCGAGATCGAGACTCGTCACTAAGGACAATACTGTTCCATTCCTGATCCCAGAGTGACCGTTGTCTGCACCACTCAAGGCGATTACGTCGGTGTTCACGAGTTAAAGGGAGGACCCAGTGTGGCCGGTATGAAAACAAGCCAAAACTTGTCATTCGTCGGTAAACACTTCGCATGCCAATAGGTCTTCCGTGTTCTGCAAACCATTCATTTGCAATGGATCTGGTAGTGGAGAAACGGTCCCTTAAGGCCAATAATCTTAGGCGGCGATCTTCACGGTCTGTTGTTCTACGGCGGCGTCCAGTGCCCCTTGCTCTTTGCGTACGGCCTTCTCGAAGCCATGCCTGACAACACCTAACTACAGTGTCTACACTTCTTTGCACTCTAACTGCAATTGCCCGAAAAGAAAGTCCAGCTTCCCGAAGTCCCACTATACGGCCCCTATCAAACTCACTAAGTTGACGAAATCGTACAGGTCTCCGTACTCTAGGCATCGTAACCGATCGTAAAGGATGTCAAGAACCAAAATCCGCCAACATTGATTCTTTACTGCGGCTGAAATATTCATTTTTAGAGCGTTAGTGAATTAAAAAAAAGCAGTATAAAAACCGGAATGTCCAACTGATAAGGCTGAACATTTTTTCACTTGTTATTTACAGTAAGATAAATACATTCACCAACTTTCATTATAATAAAACCATTTAA